AGTGAAATTACAGTTCAGGACATGGAAAATAGCCAGCACATTTGAAACATCACTATAAGTACTTATTGTTGATTCAAGCATGTGGCTAGAAACTCAGGATAGCTAACAATGAAATCCATCATGGAGCAGTACAATCAACATCGGGATAAAGGGAAGACAGATAAAACTACTAGAAAAAATAAGAATCAATTTTCATTTGTTTAAGGACATGATAAGAAAGTTTGCAAAAACACCAGGTCTTGTGATGATAAAATTGTTTGATGGCCAGAACAGGAATAAATGACAAGTATGTCTAAACTTAGTGGAAATGGAAGCCCTCATGGGTGCCTGGCTCCACATGTCCCCCCAGGCTGATAGCACACTACTGTCAGTTCTGCAGGAAGGCAGCAGGACATGCAGCCTGTAAAAATCCCCAGTGGGCTTTGGTCAGTGCCTGGTCTGGATCAAGGACATGGGGAGCACCCCTGGTGACAAAGGCAACACAGATGTGAGAGACAAATGAATGTTGGTATAATGCCCAAGCAATGTAAAGCTTGTTGTGTGTTTGTGTGTGTTTATATATGTATAAACTAATATGGATGAGCAAATCATGTCCATTCTGATATTTGTGCTGCATTTTCGTGTGTTGTACTAGGCAGATGGAACAGAGATGGTGTCATATCTAAATGATGCATGTCTATCACAATGAAACCTCTAAGAACACTTGTAAAATTAATAATAACAGTGATTTTGTACCTCAGAAGCAATTTTTCTCTTAAAGACTAAAATAGAATGAGAGTTGCAAGGAGACAGGACACTTATAAGAGCAGTAAATCTCTATCAGAATGTAATTTAATAGGGTTAAAGTAATACAAAAATAGCATTTGTAACTGGAGTGTTTTATATCTGAAACAAATTAACTGACAAACTAGTATTATAAATTTACTCAATGATACATAGTATTCTGAAAGATGACAATGACTTTATACTAGAAAATGTTTGCTATAGTTGTAATGAAAAATTCCACTTCCTTTTTTTTAAATCGTGGGATGGATTCAGCTATGCAAATACTGTTATTGTAATTTCTTTTTGTATCTTATAGCATTTCAGAAATCTTTCCATTTTTATGGTACTAATAGTGAGCAGAGAAAAATTACAGTAACTTGTAGCACTTTATAAGGAACAAGTGGTAACAGTTTAAGGGCATAATAATACAGTAAATAATAATTATAGGACCAATAGCATGGTTTGGGTTGGAAGAGACAGTAAACATCACCTATTTCCAACACCCCTGCCATGGGGAGGGATGCCTTCCACTAGACCAGGTTGCTCAGAGCCCCAGCCAACTTCACCTTGAACACTGCCAGGGATGGGGCATCCACAGCTTCTCCAGACAACCTGTGCCAGTGCCTCAGCACCCTCACAATAAAGAATTTCTTCCCAGCATTCAATCTAAACCTGCCCTCTGTCAGTTTAAAGCCATTCCCCCTTGTCCTGTAAATCCATGCTCTTATAAAAATTCCCTCTCCTCGCTTGTAAACCCTTCGGGCACTGAAAGATGCTCTAAATTTTCTCCAGAGGCTGCAGGTCTCCAGGCTGAACACCCCCAGCTCTCTCAGCCTGTCTCCGTGCTGCAGCCCTCTTCATGATGTAACACCGAAGTGTTTTGCAATAAAGCACCACAACAAAGCCAGGCAAAGGAGGTTGCTGTGTTTCCCCGGCTCACACGGAGGCGGTGTGGCTCCCTGCGGCCGCAGCGCGGAGCTCCCGCGGGGCGGCAGCGCAGCACCGCGGTACCGCGGCACCACTCCGGGGAGCGGCTCTGCCCAACAGCTTCGCATTCCCTCTGCGCATTTTGTTTCCTTATTTTGGCGTGAGTTAACAAGGATAATTTTTTTTTCTTCTGCAGTGATTTTTTTTTCCTACTTAATCTCTTAAACTCTAAAATGGATTCATGTTAATATTAATAATTTAAGGGAAATAAGCCGTTTCACGGTCTAATCACACCAGCATGGAGAAGTGACAGTTGCCTCTGAATAAAGGATGGAATGATTGGCAGGATTACCTTCAGGCAAGGGGAGATCTGGAGAAGTGGAATGGTGTGAAACTTCATCTCTCTCCCATGCTGTTCGGATTATTTATCAAAGTATGTGAAGATCAAAAAAAAAAATCAAGGGAAATGCATGCATGTAAATTATTAACAGCCTGCCTCAGAGGATGAGCAGATTTTGTTCATACTGTATTAACTATAACAAATTTTATTACATATTCAAAGAAAAAGAAATAGAAGTTACAACTCCAACATGGTAGTAGATAACGTGTGAAATAATCTCATAAGAAACTATTATCTACAAAATAACATTGTAAATATAAGAAAATATTGTCAAGAAAGCTTCTGACGTTCAGGGAACCACTTGTTTATTTTTTATTTATATTGCTGACTCTTATAGGTTGAAAAGGAAGGTTTGCTCGAGTCCAAACAAGGACATTCTGGTGTGAGCCATCTGTACCTGAGGTCCCTAATGCAGGCCAACACGAATAAAAACTGGTTCATGAAGCAGTAGCACAAAAGCAAATCTTTATTTGCTGTTGCTCAGCAACCATGTGCAAGAGGCCCATTTTTCATTTTTGCCTTAACTTGACAGGAAAATGATAATAAATATGAGATTATTATCACAGGGTATAGATTATTTTGAACAGATGAACAGATATGTCACAGAGAGGCATGTAATTTGGTACCCTTGAAAGGGAGAATATTAGAGAAACTGAAAATAGAGTTGTAGGTTTATTACTGGCTTGCAGTTCATGCACAGTTCTTGAAAAAACCTAGAAAACATTATTCTGTCTCTCTGGTTTCTCTATATGGTCCTTTAAAATGAATCACTTGGTGTTATTCAGCCTGTTGTTATCTGTGTCAACTTCAGTTTCAATACTATGAAAAAAACCATTCTGTGGTTGCTATGCAACAGAAATTAAAAACTAAAATATGTTTTAGTTTGTTTGCTAAAATGATACGTGCCCAACTAAATAAACAGTAACCAGGTGACTAATGTAGCATCTAATTAAAAGACTAATCAAGGTATTAATGAAATATTCAGTATACATGAGTCATGATGAATAAATCCATCAGTTTGGATCTAAAATGGCAACGATTTTTAATATATGCAGAAAAATTTTAATATAGGAAGACATTAGCATAATGTATAAATGTCAGGTGTTACACTTTATTATTTGTTTTTACAATTCTACAGGTATACTGATTGCTTATGCAACTTACTCCAAGCAAACTGTTCCACAGGCTCCTTGCACTTAGCTGAACACATAACTTGGGATATAAAGTCAGGTCCACAGGATCCGACACAAGCCAGCTTCTCATATCAAATAAATGTGGCAGAAAATGCAAAAAATCTTACTTTTTAATGTAAACCAAAACTGTGAAAAGCAGGATCATTAACGAAGATTCTATGTTAAAAATTAAAGCAGCAGAAGATGTAAATGCTACTTTTAAAGGAGTGAATTTTTACATTTAATAATAAATAAAATCTGAATTATATAATGTTATTTAAAATTGCAATTCTGAAAAGTCTAACCAGATGTGAGAACTTCTATAGAAATTATAGTTGGCTTTCTGTTTGTTTGCACAGTAAAGCAACACTGCTTCTACAGACTGAAAGTAAATTACTTCAGTTATGCTCCTCTCTCTTCTAACAGAGAAATGCTACTGAAAATGCCAAATGGAAAGATACAAACTAAGCCCTTAACAAGACATTTTGACTGGTTTTGGTTTGCAGAAGAGCTCAAACAAATGGAATGGGGAAAATATTATATAATTCAAAATCTGACTCTAACTATTTCCAAACACTGCAAAGAAGAAACAGAAGACATAATTTCCTGATACATAAAAAAAAAAATAAAAAAAAAATCCTTACTTATCAAACTCTAAGTATCATCTGGCTTACATAGTCTCCTATACATTCTGGCATATAGGCTGTTTAACTCTTGGTTGCTTTGGATGAAGAGTGCAAAGTACTCGTATTGTTCACCAGGACTGTGAGTGAAAGCATAGCTGTCAGCAATAGCAACAACAACATTATTGGAGAAAAATGCCACCAGTGTAATCAAATGTGTGATGTTTTGTACAAGCAGTTATGTCCAGGTTACCAGAGAGCCATGGAAGAAGGAATACCATTTTTGACGCACGAACATGAATTTAACTGAGCATGTCTTATCCCCATTTGGAAGCAGTGACACTGTGCAGGTAGGCAAAGAAAGCGAAGCAGGTACAGAAAGGGAACAGAAAGGAATCGAGGTGGGTTTGAACCACGGCAGCTGCCTGTGGGTAACCGATGGGTGTTCCCCGGGACCAGCCGTGTCTGCGGCCAGCCCGTGTTAGGAAGCAGCGGGGGAAGGAGCCTTGCAGCGCGGCCAGGCTGCCGGGAGCAGCTGCCGGGGCGGGCCGGGCGCTGCTCGGCCGTGGAGCGGGGCAGCGGCTGCGGCCGGGGAGCGGGCTCGGCTCGGGAGGGACCTCACGGCTCCACAGCTCTTCTCCCAAGTAGCCAGAAACAGGACAACAGGACAGAGCCCGAAGCTGCGCCTCACGGGGTTCAGGTGGAACATTAGGAGGAATTTCTTTACAGAAAGGGCGATTGGAATGGGCTGCGCAGGGAGGCGGTGCAGGCACCCTCCCTGGAGGTGTCTAGGGAAGACTGGACGTGGTACTCAGTGCCATGGTTTAGTTCGGTCACAGGTTGGACTCGATGACCTCAGAAGCCTTTTCCAGCCCTGTGCTTCCCTGAGTTTTGAACACGATCCCTTATCCCAAGCAGTTCTCCACAGCCGCCTTCCCCCCACCCCGCCCTCAGCGCCGCCGCGCGCGGGAAGGGGCGGGGGCGCCCGCCGAGCTCTCGCGAGACGAGACGGGAGTTCCGCGGCGCGCGCTCAACGTCGGCCGCGCGCGGATTCGAAAAGTGGCGGGTGAGGGGGGCACGGAGCGGGGCCGGCCCGCAGCGTCCGCGGCTGCCCCGGGCTCTGCACCGTTGTCCCCGGGCTCTGCACCGCTGTCCCCGGCTCTGCACCGCTGTCCCCTCCTGGCTCCCGGGGCCAGTGCCTCCTCCGGCGGTGCTGCCGTGCGCCGCGGGCTGTTCTTCGCGCGTGTCCGCCGGTTTCGTTCCGCTCCGCTGAGGCGGCGCCGCGGCGCTGGAAGCGCGTCCCGCGGGTCCGTGAGGGTTCGGCCGCTCTGAGGGAGCCCGAGGTAAGCGGCCCGCCCGGCTCCCCGCTGCCTGCTCCGCCGCCGCCTGGCCCAGCCCCCGGGTGGCTCGGACGGGGCCCGGGAGCCACCCCAGCCCCGTTCTGTGGTGTGGCTTCAGGCACACTGAGTGCTGTGTAAGTCACTTCCCACCTGGAAAAGCACCTCAGGGGACACCTGGGATGGAGGGAATGGTTACGTGAGCAAATCAGGCTCTTGGTGGCCTTGCCCATTTCCCGTGATTTTCACTTGATGGTCGAGACAAGAGACCATTTTACTACCCCTCAGTGCTTCTGATACCAATACATACTGTTGTTGGGAATGATGGCCAGCTTAAATAGTGGGTGTGTGCTGGAGAATGCATTGTGCTTCTTAAAAATCCAAGTATCCGTTAACACTTTATTCTGCTTTAAGACTTATTTACTAAAAAAACCAAACCAAACAAAAAAGGAAGCAAGCCCTGTAGCCTAGTGATGTTGTGAATCTAAATCCTGATTCAGATAATTAAAATATATTGGAGGGGAAAAGTGCTTTAACTATGTAGTACATATATAACTACTGTAATATATAACATATATAAATAGATATCAATGCTATATATATAACTGATATATTATTACAACAGACCAAAATGATCTTGTTTTGATATACAGTACCTCCTCTAATGTTATGTTTTGGTTATAAAGTGGGGAAGACCAATTCCAGGATGAAACGCGAAGCATTTTTGCAAGTTGTGTCTAAAGAGTCAATTGAAGACTTCCTGCATTACACCCAGAATCCTGTAAGTGAGCCAGTGTATACAGAGATCACTTCTGGAGTCATGAGTCTGTTACAGGTGCAGAAATCAAGGGACAAAGGGACAGAAATTATTTGTCTGGTACTTGCAGATGTGTGGGAATGATTGCTGTAGAAAATAAGTTCAAATGGCACTTGAAGGAATGTAGGCTGAAAAGGTTGTAGAATCTGAAATATGAATGTTTGTTAACCATCTCATTTTTTGATATTTGGTTGTTCCACATACTGTTTTTTAAAAATAAAATATTAGTATTTGTGTACTTCTAAACAAATATTAATTTCATGTTGCTGAAATATTACATTGTTAAATTTAAAATAGTGAAATAGTTTATTGGTATATAACGAATAAGAGTTAATATACAAGCATAGCAGAATTGTGTTTCTCTAGTATTTGTTCATTCATTTGATAGTTTGGGCTGTCCACTTGCTCTTTGGCCCATTGTTAATTTTACTTGAATTGTTCTTTCTGTCACAGAATGCTTTAGAGAAGGGGTAGATTGCTCTTTCTAAATGAAGTGTGGAGAGAACAGAGAGGAGCAACAAAACAAATCTTCTGAAATCTACTATTAAAAGTTCATTCTCACATTGTGTATATATTGCATAAGAATGAGAAATAATAATTTGCATTGAGGTGTTTTCCACTCAGCTTCAATCTCTCTGGTGTTACAATATACCTGAGCTCTTCTAAACATCTTTTGCTTGCTGCCATGAATGATATTATGAAGTTTGTTTCTTATGCTCTTATGGGTATTTTCCTGGTTCTGCCTGTGGCAGGATAAAGTGGATCAGTTGACCTCTATGTGCACAGAGGCATGAACTGATTTAATGTAGCAACTATATTAATCCCACAATCTTGTTCTGTATAATACAAGGTTGGTCTCCCAAACATCCTTGAATCTTTCACCAAGAAATTTGCTATTTCTTTCATTTGTGTGCCTGTATGTAGTTGTGGATGATACATTTATTGCCAGATTGCCTTTGCCTAAAGTCTTCTTCCCATTTTTCCCTAAATCTAAACATTGAGCAAAAAACTATTCACTTTAGTATTCCCTTGCAGTGTTTCCTTTTTCAGTTGATTTGGTTGTGTTGATTCTGCCATTTGTGTTCAGTAATTTATTTTAATGAGCCATGGGCTATTTGGATTAAAAATGGTTGTTTTTTTTCATCCTTTTGTTTTTCATCACCAGTTCACAGGAGTTCTCTTGCAACAGTGTTCAGCTGTTGCCAATATCTCTGGAAACTTTGTCACCAACTACATTGATTGAACTTGTCTTCATGCTTTTGTAGCATAAGGGAACATGAATATCCACATGACTTTTTGACTGTCCAAGACACTCCAGTTATTTTATTAATTTCCTTTTGAAACCTGCAGTGACGGAGGATGTGTGACCATGTCTGGTCTTAGTATGAGGATCCTCCTTTTTGGATCTCCCTTGAAAAATTCTTGATTGCTTTTCTGGTGGAGGCTGTGGTTAAACAAATAATCATTAAAGCTTCACTGCTTTCCTTAGTTTTTGTATTATATTTGCTACTTAGCTGGTTCTCTAGCCTTGGAATTTGCCTTTTAAACTCTCTTCAAAGTTCATTTTTTAGCATGGCTTCTTCTTTCAGTGTTTGTTTTCTACACAAGCCCCAACCTCCCTTTTACTTCCCCCTTGAATTTTTCTTTCCTGCTCTCTCAATGTTTAGATTCATCTGTGTCTTCTAAAATTCCAGGGCTTTGCTAATTTTCCTTCTCGTTTCTCAGGGGCTTTTAATTTTTTCCATTGTAATATTTTAAAAAAGTCATATTATGGTGTTGTTAATTGAGATCTTCAGCATGTGCTATTAATTTTTTCCACTAAATCCCATTCCAGTTCAAGAAAATACATAATTTCTTAGACAGAAAAATAGGAATCACAGATATGATTGTCATTCAGTGTCATCCTTTCTCCTCCTAGATTTTGGAATAATTCTGTCTCATATCATCCCAAAGAAAAATCTAAAAACTCTGATCTTATGAGTTCATTCTGTCTGTTCAAAAGGGTACAATCTTAATATCCTGTCTTTTGGGTTTGTTTGAAGCACAGGGCTGCAGATCTCCCTGCGAGGCCTTTGGTTTATTGTATTTGTTTTCAGTTGTAGAATAGAATAGAAATTCTCTTATAAATATGTATCAGGATCTTTCTTCTCATACCCTTCTGGGAACTTTCTAATACTTACTGCTGCTTCTTTCATTCTTTTCAGTTTTTACCTTCGACTTTCTCTTTTTGATGTCTTGCAGTGTATCTGCAAACTAAAAATAGATTTATTTCAAGATTATGGGCGTTCTCTCTCTTTCCTCTGAAGTATTTTTGATTCAGTAAACCTTCACTTCCATATTGCAAATTACATCTCAGAAATGATCTGTTCTTTCTCCTGGTTGTGCCTGGTCTTCCTTCTTATCTTCTCTCTGCATATTCCCTTTCCTAGCAGTTTGCCTGCCCTTCTTTAATGCTAACAGACTCCTTGTGTCCCTGAGGTAAATTCTTCCAGCAAAGTTCTTTCTAGGAAACAGTTCAGATCAGCCTCGTGGTGCAGCCTCTACTGGGGACTGATGGTGGCTTCCCCGTCAGCAGGGCTTCAGCAGGAGGTGTGGGGTCAGCGGGCTCAGGGGCTGGGTTTGATGTGGGGCTTTGAGACAGTGCAGTGTGCAGAGCTCTGATGTGTGCAGCTCATATCCCAAATTAGTGCTGTCCCTATGGCTCTACTGCTGCGGCTCCAGTCCTTGCCAAAGGATTTTCTTTAAACAACCCTCATCAATCCATATTTAAGAGAGCCAAGACATAATCAGGAACTTAAATTCACGGCTCCAGTCCTTGCCTGAGGATTTTCTTTAAATCCTCTTCCTCATCAATCCATATTTAAGAGAGCCAAGACATAATCAGGAACTTAAATTCTGTGCAGTTTTAAGCTTAGCCAAGGATATGGAATTGTCTTCATTGCTATCAAGGGCTAAAGTCTTCTGTCTTAAAAGCAGCACTCTTGCTTCATGATAAAGAGTTAACTAGCAGAATTTTCTTATGCTATTAAAAAAAAAAAAACAAACCAAAAAGTTCTAGGAGGTATTTTACCTCTATAACTGCAGAGGAATACAAGTTAATCATTAATGTAAAAACCCAGATTAAACGTAGAAAATATGATGATGAAGTATAAGCCACTTTGCTCATGTGAGATTGTGTGGTATCTTCTGATGATTTATAGAAAAATACATTTGATCATTTTGACTTGAATGAGCTACTTCAAGAATTGCCAAGAAAGCAAAAAGAAGTGCTATGGCAGAGACTGGCACAGCTATTGACAGAGAGCTTGATGGAGAACCCTGTGGAAACATGGCACAGGACTGGAGATGATAAAGGTGATGATGACATGGAAGTTGAGATAGTTCCAGAAATGGTAAGAATCTTGTAAAATGAAAGCATGATGAGTGTTTTGTGTTTTTTGGGAAATAAAATGGAATATTTCCATAACAACTGAAAACGTGCAAGGGTTATCAAATAAGACCAGTTCCAAATATCACCTTCCTGCCCATTTTTTTAAATGACTTAAGTTCAGCTTAACTCAAGCATAAATTATGATTGGTCTATGCTGTAAAAGACTAGCTCTGCTGATAATTTTAATTATGAAAGATGTGACTTAGTTTTCTCAGTAGAGTTGAATGGGCTTTTTCTGTGTCTTATTTCAATAAGCAAATGTTAATGTTGCAGATGTTAAGTTTAAGTAGCTGGCATATAGTGTAAGAAATTCACTACCTGATTTGTAATGTCATTTTATTTAATGAACATCAGGAAATCTAGATTTGACTGCCCCTTCCACAAATTCAGAATATATAGAATTTTTCTGACTCAGACCCTTATTTACTGCCTTCTGTGCTGTAGTCTATGTAGCCTTGAGAATACTGGGGGAAAAGATTATTTAATTTTGGGGGGAAGAAAAGAAATGCAGTGGGGAAATCATTAGAGAAACCTAGAGGCTTACAGAAAAATCAGTCATCTGTTCAGAGCCTGTAGAATCACACACTTGGAGTGAAAGTCACCAGATGTACAACTCTGAGTTACACAAGATCCTGCTAGTTAGGGGCTTTTCAGCTCTGAAATGGATGTGTGCTTGAGTGGGTTTGTTGCAGATGAGGATTTTAGTGCAGGAATGGATGCACAGGTGCAGTCACAAAGTTATCTGCTAGCTGGAGCTGAAAACCCTTTTCAAACTTTTTGAAAATATGTACTTTAAAAACGTATTCTTTTGCCTCTTATTTGAAAGGCTTTGGGTGCCAGCTTCAGAATGGAAGCATAATAACAATTCATCTTTGCTCTCTGTTGCTAAGGTTCATTTCTTGTTTGAATTATTTTCTGAGTCCAAAACAAACTGCAGAAGTGTTTCCTCAGCATTGCTTTCTTTCAGAAACAAACTGTAGCAGTGATCCAAGGAGTGGCAGCTGTCGTTATTGCTTCCATACCTGCAGTGGATGAAAATGTAAACTACAAAGCTCTCGCAGAATGCGCTTTTATACTGAACGGTGAGTGCTTCTCTGTACAGAATGCAGCATTTCACAGAGGCTGTTTGATCTGACTGAAATCCAGCTGGCCTGTGAAACAGAATTCACAGGAGAAAAGTTGGTACTGGTTTGAGTTCATATTTATGAGACAAAATTAGGGGAATGTTTACTTAAAAATCAGCTGCACAATTTAGAAGTTGGAATGTAAATATTTTTTTTCTCCCAGCTGTTCATCCAGTGGAAGGTAACTTTGATTATCCTGTGTTTTTTATTACTTTTAAGGGAAACTTAATATTTCATTGTTACTGATCCAAAAATGTGGGCCAAACCTTAGAGTTGCCTAAATACTGCAGTGAGCATAAGCCATGAAAGTGTATAAATGTGGCAGGAGCTAGCTGACACCGTGAGGTGTAGTTACTGTGCTAACAGACTGCTGTTTTACAGGAATGACTTGGTTCATTGCAGTAAATAATTATTTCATTACTCTTGTAGGTATTCTTCCTGCATTACTTGCATCTGAAAAAATCCTACAGGATGCCATCCAACGTGTGTGTGAAATGTGGTGGGAGAAGGGACTGGAGGGGAAGGAGCAGCTGGGGAAGACTCTGTTTGTCATTCTGCTGAGGAAAAGCCTCAATAAAGCTGCTACGGTAGGCTGAGGCTATGTTGACTTTCAGGTTATTATTGAATATTTCAAGAAAGATAATCCCTCCAATAAAACACTGCCTTCTCTAGAACAAATTTTAAAGGCTTTTGGCATCAGTTTCACAAGTAAAGTGGATTATTTTTTTTTTTGCATTCCTTTTCATCTTTTCACCCTTTTGTCCAGTCCAATGACCAAGGTTTTTATTGCAATTAACTTTCTGTCAACTCAGATTTTTAAGCACTGTGTTCAGCTAAGCGTGGAAACAGCTTTTGTGGGAAGCTTCATCTTCTCTCGCTTTTTATCTTTCTACAAATAATTTTTCTTTCATTTTTCAAAAGGTGTGAGTTACTTGAGTATTGTGATGCACATCTTTTGCACTAACTCAATGGACATATCCTTATGTCTTTCTCCTGTTTTTCCCTGTTAACTGCATGTATTGTACGAAGTTTAAAAAGTGCAATGATGTGGTTTTAACATACTTTGCATGGAATGGCAACTTTTTTTTTCTGTACTTAAGCATATCTTCATTTGTTGGAAGTCAGAATTTCTGCAGTCACATATATTTTTTTCGCAGTAATGTGATGAAATGAGTATTCATATTTTCACAATCTGTAACAATGCATTTCAGGTTCTTTATTTAAAATCCTCTCAATGCAGCTTTGCATTAAATCAACGTTTTTTGCATTAAAGCAAAGCTACTCCACTCTAATGTGGGCTTCTTCTTTCCTGTCAGGGTGCAGATATAATTCGTGTATGGAATCTACATCAGACATTACTTTGTTTTGATTATGATTCAGATGAGAGTAATGAAGTCAAAGACTTGTTGCTTCAGTGTTTTATGAGTGTAAAACATATTAAGAAAGAAGAGGTAAGCCAACTTTTATCTTACTGTGGTTTTGTGCCAGTGAGCTTTGGTTGCTTTTAATAGTTTTGCAGTTTGTCTTTTTTTATTGTACAGTGGGTAGCAACATGAGACAAATCAGCTCTGACTCCAAGTTATAAATGGTTGATACTGTTTCATTTGGAAAACTTGTTTCTATTCCAGACTAAAGTGTGAAAGTTTATGTCTAAATCTTCAGTCCAGTTCTTTTATCCCGAGGCAATAAGAATCAAGTGCTTTGCTTCCAGTACATTTCCCTTGATACTTAAAAACATTCCCTGGTGTAATTCTTTTCTTTTATAGCAGTTCTTCTTTTATTCAAGACAAGTAACTGTAGCAAAATAATTTTCCTTCTAAATTACTTCATCTACAAGAATGTGTTGCCATATTCTGTTTTAAAAGTAGCATTAAAAGAACCCAACTTCAGAGAAAAATTAGAATTACTTCATTTAACTACACAGATTTCTCTCAGTGAACAGTTGCTGTTTTGTTGGTTTTAGATTGTGCCTGTGCACCAGAATTGTGGTGTCCAGGCCTTTTTTCTGGTTGGGTGACCAGACCACCAGACTTTGTCTCTGAAGTTCTAACTCTTCCCTGCATGAGTAAAATAGATATATTCCTTTTCCTGTGAATTTATTTCATAAAATGAGCCCTGAGATTGCTGCATGGTTGAGGCAATGTAAGGATATGTCATTTTAAAAATGGAGGTAGCGAAGGAATTAGGTGAAATGTTTGGTAGAGCAGGATTTGGATACCTGCCACGAAGTTGGTGGGGTTTTTGTTACTTATGTATGATATTTTAAGCTGTTTTAGTTTTGACTAAAATTATGATGTACCAAGGCAATATGAGAGGTGAGAATGGAAGAAGAGAAAATGTGGGTGGAAAGAGGAAAGACAGGTAAGGCTTTATTGACAGAGTTTACAATCAATTTTGTGTCCTTGGTATATTTCATTTTAAGCCATTTTTTGTCATCTGGAAAAAGTGTGTACTTGTGTTCTTTGTCACAGTACTTAAAATACATTAACTATATTTGATTGTGTATGGGTTTTTTTTCTTCTGTTATATTTGAATCCATTGTATTACTTTAATATTTCACCTTCAAAAAGGCACAGTAAATAATTGGTAATTATATATATAAAATACGACTGCTGTCTAGGTTTCAGAAGCAAATTCTTGTAGTTCTTTATTTCTCCCACATCATGTGAGACTTTCATATAACGTGTTAGTTACTATACAGCTTTTCTAAAGGAAGTTTGCGCCTTGAATCTTTGAGTGAAAAAGTATAAAAGTGGTTTTGTTGTGGGGGTTTTTTTTAAATATGGGGGGGAAAGCAGTCGTAATCAGACTCAGTAATGAGTATTTTTCCTGGCATAATAAAACTCATACACTTTGCTCCAAATCAATGCTGATTTGGCCATGCTTTGCACATTTCGCTTCCCTGCACAAGATTTTTCTCTTTACTCTCCCAAGGATTTCTGGTTCTTGACATTTTGTCAAGTTTGCATTTTCATAGGCCTATCTCTTTCTAGGTTGATATAGAGAGCTTAACCTTACTCTCTGCTTTGTCTGATCATTAGTGGTTCAGATCCTCAGTTCTGGATTTTTTGCTTTCTAACTGGAAGCATTGATGGAAGCAGCAGCTCCCAGCTGTAGCCAAGGGGCTCAGCCTTGGCTGGGGTGGGTCTGCCTTGGAGCCTGCTGGCATTGGCTCTGTGGGCACGAGGAAAGCTTCTGGCAGCTTCTCACAGAAACCACCTCTGCAGGCCTCCACCACCAAAACCTTGCCATGCCAGCCCAACACACAAGTCACTTTACATCCTGGTAGATAACAGCTCAACATAAATGGAGAACCATAACCCATTCTGGAAAGATGCCAGGACAGGGTTCAGTTAAATTAAGTGTCTGAAATAAATTTAGACATCTGTGCAGGAGCATAAGCAGTACAGGTCCTGGGAAGGATTTGATTGCTTAAGTGAATGACCCATGCTACATTAAATGGCCTAAGTTGCCTCAGACATCCATGTGGGGTTGGCATGTAAAACACTGTCATAGATCTCTGCCTTCTGGAAAACCATCTGGGCATGGAAAATTGCTCTGTGTTTAGGGTGTGCCATATTAACCCTAGTCAGAAGAGTCAACAGAACAATTCAGCTCCATAAAACAGTAACTAAACAGCTGATCACACGAATCACTCTTCAGACAATTAACAATTCAGGGACTTAAACATCCAAAATTTTGTTGCAGTTTGTAAGCAGAAATCCAACTTAACTATATGAACTTCAAGTACTTATCCAGAATGGTAACTGACTTGGATTTTCCTAGCTCTGCAGACAGGAGATTCAGAGTGTTCAAAACATTTTCCTGTTGCTGTGAGGCCATTGTACTTCAGTTGCAAGTCCTTTTGTTTTGGATTTGTATGCTGTGGTAGTTCAGTTGTAGTGGTAACACACCTTATGTATGTTCTCTAATTTCCCTTTCTGGTTCATTTCACTGATGTTAGATTTCTTCTAGCAACAAAAAACCAACCAACAGTCCCCCAGTACCTCTGCTGGATGTTTTTTTGCATCCTGTATTGCTTCTAAAATGCTTGTAGTAGTACCAAGTATCAACATGATGTATGAATTGCTTTGAGTTGAATGTGAACTTCTGTATATCAGGCCTAATACTCCCTTTAATCCCTGCAGACTTTTTCTACAGTTCCTAAGAAAAGTAATCCTAGTTTTTTTAGAGTACATATCCCAGAGCTCAGTACCATAGTAGCTTAAGCTGCTATAACTCCAGGTTGCAATGATCCTGTGTTGCCATGGACTAGCATTCCTCTTTTCCTTTTCACAGTCTAATGTTCAAGCAGCAATATCATGTGCTGATTGAAGGTGGTAGCTGTTTTCTCCTAGTAAGATTATTTTTCAGACAGATTAACTGTCTGGAATGGGTCATCATATGCAAGATGAAGGAAGGGAAGGGTCAGGAATGCAGTGTATCTGTTCTAAATCAATATTAAACCAATAGAGAATTGCATATTTATTACACCTCAGTGCAAGATCAGGGAGTTCAGTGTTTCTGCCTTCCCAGGCTGTGCTGTTCAACACACAGTAATATTTCTCAGAGGTTTATCATCAGGCTGCATTAGTGGAGTGATCCTCTGAATTTATCTCTCTGTGATTTATGGAAACATTCTTGTTCAGATGGGGTTTGTAGTCTCAACAGCTGCAGAGCATGTTACTGTGTTTTAGAGGTGGGTCTCTTGTGCTCTTTCCTTGCTCACCTTCTCTGTGTGTATAGAACAAAGTCATGTGCTCTGTGTCCACAAGCTCAGCAGTACCAGACACGCAACCCTGATACTGCATTAGTCCCAAAAATGACAAGTTCACAGTCTCATTCACCTATCACCAGGTTGTCTCTCACGGTAATGAGAATGTTGTTACCAGTAATTATTTCAGATCCATTAATCACAATCAGCAGATTAAGCTAGAGGCTTTTATCATTTTCAGGAGCAGGCTCAATCTTTTAAAACCTAAGGCTAAAAATAATTAGTTGAAAGATGATAAAAAGCCAAAAAAAACTGTCTTGCTGGGGTTGTAGAAGATGAGATGAGTTTGAGTTTGTCCTCATCCTTGCTGCCTTGAGGAAAGAACTGCAGGTCAGTTCTTTCTGAAGAAAAGACTGACCTTTTGTTTTGTCAGGGATGTTGATGTGTGACATGCCAAGTGGGACTCCCCTGTGTTTATATTAGGCCACCAAAGCTGGAGACAGAGACAGCACTTGCTGACAGCAGGAAGGATGCCATCTGACCTGGAGCCAAGAATCTTGTATTTAGCCATTGGGTCTTGATTTTTATGAGATTCTGAGTTAACTTCTTCACCCAAAGGCATTTCAGCTATCAATTGCACTACAGTGCAGTTTCTGGCTATGTGCTTCCATCTCCCTCCCCTACTCTGTGAGGTTCCAACTCCAAGTGTGTCTGGCATTCTATTTTCTCTGTTTGGTCTTAGGTGTGAACACAACTCTTGTCCAGCTCTCAATGGAAGTGCCTCTGAACCTCTGCTGTTTATTCAGCACTTCTCTCAATGTGCTCTTTACTACTGCACTTCCTTTATTAATATACCTAATTTATTTTTGGCTAGAAAGCTGAGAGATAAGGACCCTTACAACTGGTTGACTCACCCTTATGTATGATCAGACATTTTGAAGTCTTACCTTCACCTGTAAGCTAAGTCAGAGTGAAGCTGCCTGTACACATACTGTATAAGGCTCCAATTCCTTGGACAGATTTTGCTGATTCTGGAAGAGCATTGGCTTATTTCCTTCATCCAAAGCCTTCCACTGCCTTTTGTTAGAAAATGCTATTGCTCATCAAATTTGTCATCACTGTTCCTGACTTGTTAAAATGGAAGAAAACTAATTTTTGGGAAAAACAGTTTCTGTTTTCATGAATGAAAGCAGCTCCAGAAGGTTCTCAGCATTACTTTTCACGTGGCAGGAGGACAGGAATTGTCCTTGCTGATCAGAACATTTAATTTCCTCAGTGGCCCAGCTGTTCTCTGTGACTTTGTTAAAAATGTTTCTGCATCCAGTGCTGGTAGAGTTGTGGTGTTTTGTTTATGCCTTCACCATCATAGCAGTGTCATCCTGGGATGATGCTGTGCTTGGCAGAGCTCGGTGCTCTGCCCTCGGTGAGGGTGCTGATCACAGGCTGCTGGCATTCTGGACTGCTGCCTGAAGGCACACCATAACAGAATGGGCATTGCAAGAGTGGAGGCAGATATGTGATCCACGTGTTCATTTGTTCTGTGTTTTTTCTACAGTATGAATAAAAGTAATGCTTCAATTCTGTTTAATAATTACAAATCTTAAATGGCTTTTTCCATTTCACCTATGCATTTTAAAATCAAAGATGTAATTTCCTTTGGATTTGATGATTTTTGAGGTAGCTCTTAAATTGTGTATTCTTCTGGCCTTTGAGTTCCCTTTGTTTTTTCCTCTTTTCCCCTCCCCACAGGGAAGAAGACTCTTGAGTTTTTTGTTCAGCTGGAATGTAAACTTCATTAAAGTGATACATGGAACTGTTAAAAACCAATTGCAGTTCTTTTCAAGGTATGCATCCCAGTTAGAATACTTAATTAGTAAGAGCTTGTCTAAAATCTTGTTTATCTCACTCTAAAAATACCTAGTGTATTGAAAAATATATCAATATCCAGAAACCTACAAATCTTTGGAATATTACTGCTATATTGTTTCAGCAACTTAATTTAATAGTAGCTCTGACATGCCTGGGTGTACAGTTATAGGAGCAGTAAATGTTTATTTGCCATTAGCTAAAGCAAATGACTTTGGATAGAAATTGGACTGCATTATTTGCAGTGCTGTGAGGGTTGCAGGTCCATTTCTCCTTTTGTAGGGTGTTCCTATTTCTTCCTACAAGCAATCTCTAATTTAATTTTCTAGGTTTCTATATAAGACATTCTAATAAGAAGTGACTTGTATGATAAATCATAGCCTGAGAACTTGGCTGATGGATGAAAAATATGGAGATTTTTTTTCTTTGATTATTCAGTGAAATATTGCTGAAGTAATTCTATGTATTAAAATCAAAGGCTTTCTAATGCCTTCATGTAGAATAATATATTTCTGTACATGTCTGTGAAGAATGTCAGGCATTCTTCATTACATTTCATTACATAACTGGTAAAGTATCCCTGTGAATGTTTTGACTCTCGCATCATAGGAGGTATTTCAAGTATCCTGTAATAGTGCTTGTGTTCATTAATTAAGAGTTAACTTGGTAGTTATGGGTGTAGACTTGAAAAAGAGAATTTTTTCTAAAAACCAATTTGATGCACAAAAACAAAACTTCATGTTTCACCTTTATGAATTGTACAGAGGTATGGTTAGTATGCTTTCTTGACTGTGTTTCCTGTATGTTAATACAGATCCTTGGTGGAATACATTTCAGAAGTTTACTTCAGGGCCTGGAAGAAGGTGTCAGGAGAATTCATAGAGGTAACACTATGTTCGAAATTTCATTTGGAGGATAGTTTTGAATTTCAAGGTGGGAAAGACTCATGACTGTCCACTACAGAGAGGTTTCTTTAACAAGCCTTAAAGAATTATTTCCCTGAGGAAAGGGCCTCTTCAGGATTGTCAAGGAGTAACTATATGTCATGCTTTGAATGCTTTCCCACTGAGATCAGCTTGGCTGCAGTTAAACACCTTTAATTCTGCTGCTGAAGTATTGTTTTGCACAAATATGCATATTTTTATACTTTTATGAAATGTTTTTCATAAACATACCCGTTAGCTGAATTACTGAAGCTTTTATTCAGTATATGCAAGTCTGTGTAGTTGATAGCTCAGGTATTCATCTAGTTTTTGTGGATTTCCATAGAAAATATTAAAGGCATATTTACAGATCACAACAATGCTAGAGCAAAATTTCAGATACCAAAATACTCTTATTTACCCGGCTTTTAGCTTCTGACAATTGGATTAACTGTAGATTCTGAAATTTTGAAAATCAGTTGAGGCAGACTGAGGCCCCCAGCATGGAAAAATTTGGGCAAAGCAGAAGCCAAGTAAGAAATAATAGCAGGTACTATTTTCAGTTGCTTGTTTTAAGGAAAAATATAGTTGCTGAATAGCTACAGTACTTATTATTGTTTCATTGTGTTAACAGGAGCATGTGTGTGTTTTACTGTAGGTACTTGAATATAACTGCATTCAGGATTTCATGCATCATGGAATTCATCTTCCCAGAAGTTCTTCTGTTCATCCTAAAGTTAGAGAGGTAAGTTCCAGGAAAGCATGACTAGTAGCATGAAGCAGTAGCATCAAAATGAGATCAGTTGCTATAAAGTGGAAAATTTCCATTTCATACTAAAATACCATACCAGGTGTGGCTGGAATGGAAATACTTTCCTTCCTAGCAGCCTGTGTGGGGCTGTGTTTGGGGTGTGCTGGTGGCACAGCAATGCTCTGGCTGCTGCTGAGCAGTGCCTGTGTGATCTCAAGGCTTTCTTCTCCTCACGTTTTCCCTTGGGAGTGGGCTGGGCTTGAGCAAGAAGTTGAGAGGTCACGGCTGAGACAGCTGACCCAAATTGACTAGAAGGATATTGCATGCCATACAACCATTATTCCCTCAGCAAACTGAGGGAAAGTGGGTTTTGGGGAGGCAGCCATTGCTGGGAGGCTGGCTGAGTATTGGTCTGCCTGTGGCAGGTCATAAGTGGTTGCATTTGCATCACTCCTTTGGGGATTTTTGGGTCCTCCTTCCTTCATTTATTGAACTATCCTTATCTTGACACATGAACTTGCTTTTATCTTCTAATTCTTTTTTTTCCCTACTGAGCAAGGAGTGTGTGCATGGCTGTGGGTGCTTAGCTGGTGACTAGAACCAACCCACCACAAATACATTAAAAATAGTATATTCTGAGAAATAATGTTAAAACAAATTTTAGGAGGAACCTGCTTATAGTTTTGCACCAGATTTGTTTTTGCTGCTCAAAAGTAGAAGGGGATTTTCCAGAGTGCCAGGAATAGTTTTTGCTGTCTGTTGTCTAAGCTTTCTTTACCTGTAGAATTGACCTTTCCATAGATGATCACAGGAACAGTCATAACCTTCTTGAGGCAAACTTAGTAGATGGGTCTGAAATGAAACTTGGCTTTTTTCTTTTTATTATATGTAGGGGATTTATGTAGGTTTATAGGCACAAGCTTTGATTCTAGTTGTCTGCCTGTGGCGTTCAGTCATGAGCAGAGCATTTGAAACAGAATGAGAAGTGCACAAGGCTTTTTAAGACATTTGTATTTGATCAATGCCCCTCCCCTCCCCATGCTTCCTCCCAAATACCCAGACTATAGAGTGTGTACTGTGTGCAATATACAGCTTGACATACCAGTGTACAGTACTAGAGTGGGTTTTTTGTTTGTTTTGGTTTGGATTTTTTGGGGTTGGTTTTTTAGGGGGTTTGTTCTGTTTTGCTTTCTCATAGCTATAGGATTTCCTTGTCCTGTGATTCCTGATCGATTGAACAGGCTTTTGACAGGGCATTTCATCCTTTTCAGACTCTGGGCCTTATGATCTTGAAAGAGGACAGTGAATAAATATGTCTTTGGGCTGCAAGAGGAGTAGGTCTCGGAATAAATTTGAACTGACCACTAGAGGGTCAGCTTCTTTTCAAATTTTGTGTAATCTTGTATTCTGTTTTCGAAGATCTTCAGGGAATTATCAGTGCTGTATTGATCAAGGCCAGAAATGTTCAGAGGATGATCTCATCTCACTTTCTGATTAATTACCAACCTTGCACACAACTCAAACTGCTCAGTGTTTCAAAGTGGACAAATTCTTCATATGAAGTTACATTATGTCCTTTCTCATATTCTGCTCTGGTCTTCCACTTTCTTTTTCTTTTCTGCGTAATTCAGATACAGAAAATAACAGGATTTTTAGCTAATTAGGCACAGTTTTGAGTCCCAAAGAGTGCTGATACTTGCTTTTCATCAGTGCATAAAATCTGTATTAGGTTTGTACATGTGTATTTGGGTAACTCCACATACCAGATAAGTTCCTTTGTTCTTAACAGAGAAAAAGCTTATTTATCTGTAGTTCATAATTTCGTGGTTTCAAAGTATTTCTGCCAGTAACTTTAAAAATAATTTGTTATAGTAACAAAAATGAGGTGTTGCTGTGAAATTCTCTAGCCATGTTTTTCTCTTAGTTGTAGATCTTTATGTAAACTTAATGACTCTATAAAGTTATAGGATATTATATTTATTAGACTTTTAATTTTACTATTTTTGAGACTTCGCTAATAAGATATAGGGTCAATTAACATGTTTAGTTTTATAATTTTCATAGTATGAAAACTCTGGTATTACATAATTATGAAATACAACACCCCCTTACCACTTCCTGAGTGTAGAATGTTAAAATGACTTTGGGGCCTGTTTTATTTGTTTTTTCTTAGATGCTGAGTTATTTTCATAAACAAAGTAAAGTCCGTCAAGGAGTTGATGAAATGCTCTATAGATTGTATCAGCCCATCCTCTGGAGAGCACTGAAGGTAATTATCCTTTTCAGAAAATACAAATGTCTTTCTCCATCTATTAAATTTTGGGTCCCTTCCACATCTTCTGTTTTTATTATTTGCTTTTAAAATGAATGGCCACAAAAACCAAAATGAGTGTTTAGCATCACAGATGTAGCTGCATAACTTTTTAAATTGCAATTAGGCATAGCTGCACAATAATATTCTAATTTGTTAATATAATTTACTTGTAAAATTCACTTTTGTTTACAGGTACCTAGATTGCTTTCCAGGATTGCAGTTGGTATTCTTATCTTCTCAATCTGAAAATTCTTTGTAAACTTGTTTTATCTTTTACAAGATCTTTAGGGATTTATTAGTGTTTTATTGATCAAAGCCAGAAGTGTTCAGAGGATGGTTTAGTCTTACCTGTTTATTAATTACCAGCCTTAGAATACAGCTCAATGAATGTACTGGAGTATTAACATAGGAAACTTTTATTCTAGTTGGATTGTATGGACAGACATTAATGGTATGAATGTGCACTCAGAAGGAAATTTCTTACTTGTAGTTCTTTCATGGTGTGTGCATGTCCTTCTGTGGATTGCATGCATGGACTAAAGGGGACCCACTGCAGTTTATCTGCTCAGTTACACTCTGTGATCAAGAGGAGCCAAGTTTCCTTCTTTGGTGACAGCTTTTATTTTGTCTGAAGTGATGAAATCCCTGTTGTGGGAATATACACATACAGCCACGTTAATTTCTGGCAAACATTTTCAATTTCATTTATGACTGGTTGGTCATAAGTGTCTTCTCTAGACTGAGAAAGGTATTTGAAATTCTCAATGTTGAAAGTATTCACTATTAACTTCAAAAATTGTTTACAATGGATTTTGAGTTACAGGAAGGAGTTGAGAGCTGTTTGGTTTCAACAGAAGCCTGTGGTAGAGGTGGGAATATGAAAAGTCATTGTTAGTCCATCTTGTTTGGTCTTACATTAAATGTTGGATCCCATCCTTTTAGAATTTGTATAAACAAGGAGCCCTCTGGATGAAACATTTATGTCCTAATGCCAGAGAATGATAGCTACAAGGCATGGCTTCCTTTAATTTCTACATTTCTGTCTCTAAAAAGAATAGGAGTTTTAACTGATTTTTGGTAAGTTAGCAAAATACCGTGCTCCATTTTTAAGGGGGTTGCTGCCTGTCAGTGAAGGGTCACAGTCACTTGCCAAAGCCCAGGACTCAAATGTGAGACTAGACTACATTTTGGAGGAAGATTCTGTCAAACCTTATGAAATCTGCATACATTTATTTGGAGAAATGTAACAGAAGGTGTGTGACCTTCTAGGAAAAAAAAAAGGTTACTGATTGATTTGCAGCAAGACAACAGGAGAATTCCAGATTCCACAAGCAGTTAAAATTTTTAACAGCTGCTATTCATAATTTTCACATCACTAATGGTTCCATGGCTAGAACAAATCATATAGTGCTGCATGAAGTGTTTGATGTTTTGAACTGTTGCTGTGACTCAGAATCACCAGTAGTTTAAAATACAGAACTAAGAAGGAAAGCTTATAACAGTTCTTATAACTGTTATGGATTCTCCTCCAAAGCTTGAAATGTCAGTTTAATTTTAGATAACTAGTTTGACACTCCTATTTTAGCCAAATCCCTAATTTAATATAGTGAAGAACAAATTCTGTTCTAGAACATTGTTTATGAAACAGAAAGGACACACAAGGCCTGTTTACTCCTCCTTCTTACAGAGAGCAAAAATACTTCAGTTGTAAGAATACAATGAGTTCCAGAACTGTTGATGCTGAGACTACTTGATTTCATCTCTGAAATCTTTAAACTGAGAATGCACATTTTGTAATGCAGTTCTGTTTTTCTTCAATTGTTTTGCAAGTAATTAGATTGCACAAGCTTCTGTTGGGGCTTTTACCTGCACATCTTTTATAAACCTTTATGCAACTCTTAAATTTTTATATTATAAGCCCATGTATAACTTCTTCATCTTTTTTTCATGTTCTTATTATGAAAAGCAAGTGTCCTACAAACATAAAAGAGATGTGCAGTGATTGGTTGTTAGTATGAGAAGATATATAGATATAAAAATATGATTATTTAATGTAAGTAGTGATTAAGCTATTTCTTATCAAGCTGAAAAAGTCAAGAACCACTCCTCCAGGAATTCAAGCTGTTGAAGGAAGTGACTCTTTTAAAGTGTTTGGTTGCCTTTTCTAATATTTTTTTAACATCCCACACATTTAAACTAACATGTCCTGGGGAAGCAGTGTTTTAAATAATTTGAATTTAATTTCAGAACCTGCAAGACCAGCTAAAATTTAAAAGAAAGCTGTGAAAATTAACTGAAGAAAAAAATAAAATATTGTTTTAGAAGGTTCTGAAATTTCCTCAGAATTGTACAGGTATAATGGTAAAGAAATTTTAGTCTTTTAAATTACTGCAGTCTCTGGCATGGAAAAGTCAGTGTGGATTAAAACTGGCCATGAATTTAAAGTCTTGGGTTCTACCTCTGTGAAGACATTGTACCAGCCTGAATATGCAAATACATTTGGGATAAATTCCAGTTAATTAAAGGAATTTGAACTGTGAGTACTCAGTTCAGAATTAAAAGTGAGCTTAATGGAATTCAGTGTAATGCACTTAAAAAGTGTATGGAAATTAACTTCCTGGAATGGCTATGGTAGACAAGGTCTAGGTTATTGCACAAAACCACATTTGAATTAATTTTCACATGCAATGTTAGTACAGAAGAGCTATTTCACCCTGAATTCACATATTATCTTATGTGTTAAATGTAGACAAGATCAGAGTTAAAGGATTTTCTACAACTTTATAGGATAGAATTAACAATTACAATTTTTTCACCTTTAAACTCTTTGCATTATCCATAATAAATACAGGAAAACACAAGTTCCTAACTAAAGAATGTATGTATGTGCTTTATTTGCTTTTGTAGTATTCAATTTAAAACTCCTAGTAATTTTGTTGGCATGAAGAATTTGGCATGTTATGGTTCTACTCCACCATATCAGAATTGGTCAAGAAGAGAAACCTAAAACAGATTGTAAATGAAGTAATTGTTACTCATTTCTGTTGTGTTTTTCTGGTTTTATTTGTCATTAGTTTATTTAAGTCTAAATATTACATGGTTATTGTTATGTTTCTTTTCCCTGCTTTGATCTCAGTGTGCTTCATTACAAGGGAAGAAGATTAGATGATTAGCATAGCCAAGAATTTCCCTGAACTATCTCATCTTGCTGTTACAATTAGGCCTGCTTTCCTTGTTATATTGAGAGCTTTTATTTTTTTATTGGACACAAAATCTGGACAAAATTTTTCCTTCCAAGTGTTCTTTCCAAGAGAAGTCAGTAGAGGCTCTTAATCACTGCACTGCTATCTCTGATAAGTAAAATGTAGTTTGGTGTTTTGATTTCAGCTTTCTCCTTGAGATGCCTTGAATTTCTTCTGAATGGTTTCATTGCCTGCTCTCTTTTTGTGTCCTTTAAAAGCCCACAGGTTCAATTATCTTTTACTGAATAAGTATCTAAATATCCCCTTTTTCCTTTTTTTTGTGTTTGTGGCTCTACAACTAGTAAAATACGTGGTGGAGTACAGTGAAATTTGTTAAATATGGTAAAATGCTCTGAGGCTTCGCATGGATTTTTGATGAGCTGCCTGCAGCTCAGCACATGGTCCTAATACTTATGTGCAGAGATGCAGAACTGAATATGTTTCTGCTGGATAAGTTACGCTCCAAGCTGTCTGGTACTTAGTTACTAAATACTGTTTTCTTGAAGAAACAGGCTTGAGCTTTTCAATTAAATCACCTGTTTCTTGACAAGCAAGTTAATTAATCCAATCTGATTGAATTCAAGTCTTCTGTCCTGAAGAGGAGCTTTAAGACCACCAAGAGAAATCCCAAATGCTTTTAATTTATTCAGCATTACAGAAGGCAGAAGGGCTCTGACTGAGATTCCTCAGGGTCATTGCAGCTGATGTGCTTTGAAAGCTGAACTCAGGTTTTACTGAATGGGCAGAAACATAAGATAAAACATTAAAACTCATATGTGACTTCCAAGTTCTTCCATCCGTTTGCAATTTAATCTCTTCCATCTACTTAATTAAAAACACTTCTTTAAATGTTTGGAGAACAGTATTTGACAGGATATACCTTTGGATATCAACAGTTGTTCCTTATGGAAAAAAATCTCTTTTCCTCCATTGTAACAGGCCAGAAACTCAGAAGTTCGAGCAAATGCAGCATTTTTGTTTGTTGATGTTTTTCCTGTTCGTGATCCCAGTTTTACTGCTGAAGAGATGGACAGGGAAATTCAGAAACAGTTTGAAGAACTTTTTGTAAGTTTTAATGAAACTAAAATGTTTAAAATGAAATTTTTGTCAGAACTAACTAAAAAAAATATTTTTTTATGCCACTAAAATTTATAGAATTTCTGGGTAATTGTAGGGAAAAAGAGGTCTGTGGCACAGAAAATACAAAAATTAATTAATATTTTAAATTTCTATAGAATGTTTTCTGCAGATGTTATATACCACTTTAAAAAGGAAATATTTTGGTTTGTTATTCAGTAATCTGTGAATGAGAGATGCCTTTGAAAGATTAAATGCATGAGTAATGATCTTGATCCTTATTTAACCTGGGATTGTGGGGGAGAGCTTCACAGTTACTATGGAAGCACTCAATCAAAGTTCAGTACTGTATTACTAAATACCTCTGAAATTAAGTATAATGGAGAGAACCTAAAAATTTCCTTACCAGTCCAGATGGGTGAGAATGGGTGTTTTCATACCCATGGGCAGTGGGTATTTTCATTAAGAAAATGTTTGGGGATTCCTGCGTAGACATCAGATAATTTAATGAATTTCAAAGTTGGTATGTTGTTCCATAGGAACAGTGATCAGTGTAGACTCATATAAATAAGGTACAAATATTCTTAATTAAGTCATAAATGCAAGACTTGATTTATTTTAAAAAAAATCAAACGTCTAATGAAAAAAGTGGGCCAAGAGTTACCTTAATTTTGCTTCTGGTTTAAATTTCCTTGTTTTCTTCATAGTAAATGCCTTGAGGGACTATTAATATTACAGTTATTTTATTGTATTATAGTTTTCATAAGGTTTAAAAGGTAATGAAATGCATTTTGTTTATGACAGGCCCAGATCAAACAGCAGTAGGGTCACAATAACCCATATGCTCACAGTATTATCCTTCTGTTTGTTTCAGAGTCTCTTAGAAGATCCTCATCCAGTTGTCCGCTCTACAGGGGTATTTGGAGTTACTCGGATCGTGTCCAAATACTGGGAGATGATTCCTCCAACAATTGCTACTGATCTTTTAAAAAAGATAACTGGAGATCTGGCATGTGATGTAACATCTGCTGATGTTCGATGTTCTGTTTTTAAAGTAAATGCTTTTTGTTATGATTGTCATTTTTCTATTTTATTTGATGTACAGGTTTCTAGTATAGGCCACTTTAAATCACGGGAATTACTTGTTCTTCAAAATATCTTAGGCAATAGAATTGCTAGTACATGGAGGTTTTGCACATTTCATAAAAGCCAGGTATTTGGAAAACACAAATGTCTTTTGAAATAATAATTGATTGGCTTTCTGGCTCTTAAGGGTTTTCAATTCAGTTGTACACACACTGTTTGGACGCAATAATTAATTTTTTTTAGCTATTAAAAATGATGCTTAGACTTAAATATATGTAGGCAGCTCCAGAATTTCTTACATCATTGGCTTTAAGGCATCCCAAGACATGCACCATTAAAATTTTGTATCCCACTTTGTTTGTTTTGTATCTCTCTGAGGTTTGGATGGATATAATTCCACAGGTGATCTGGTGATGCCTCCTCCCATGCATTGCTCACTATGTTTGAAATAGTTCATCTACATCTTTCTGGCATGTGAGAAATAACTGATAGCTTGGACAGAAAAATGAACTCCCTAGTCAACATTTTCACTTGAAGATTGTGTCTGTGTCAGTTCAGCCTTAAATTGAAGCTGTCATCCTGTTAATCCTCACTTGCTCCACTACTGCTTCATGGGGGAGCTATTCTGGATAAGCAGAAAGTGCTAATTTAAAAATGAATTGGAAAAAAGAAATGTATTTCTAATTTGAAATCAGCATATTTTAGAGAGCTGGTGTGTCCTCAGGCAGAGGGCAAGACCATGGTCTTAGTGTAGGTCTGAAGCTGATTCACTGAACACAGTTCACTCTAAATTTGAAGTAATCAAGGCAGTTTTTGCCAAAGAATATGACAAGAAAAATAAGCATGCGTAGTGTCTGCCCCTGCTTTGTTTAACATGAGAAGTATCACAGTTCCCTTCAACAATTTTTAGCTACAGATTTTTCAGCTCTACTCTTTCTGGATTTGTTTATTTTAGTGCATACCAATGATTTTGGACAACAAACTAAGTCACCCACTCCTGGAACAGCTCCTGCCTGCAACCAAACACAGTCTTCATGACAGTTCTGAGAAGGTGCGAGTGGCTTTTGTGGAAATGCTGCTCAAAGTGAAGGCTACCAAGGCTGCCAAGGTAGGATAATGACACTTGATAAGTAGCAAGGAGACAAAATAATGGCATTTATTTAAAAAACAAAAAGTACATTTTGAGACTGCTGCATTGTTCCTTAAAAAGAAATAACTTGCTTTGCTCTGGTAACACTTAATATCTGTGTATCTTGAGTGCTCCGTGGGCCTTTTTTCTCTCTGGATGGGCAGGGGAGAGCAGTGGGTTACAGCCACACTTCCCTCAGCTGCCCAACTCTTCTAAATGCCTAACACATAAAGCAAAAAAGCTACTGGATTAGATTCTCCTGTTTTTATAATGTCTGTTTCTATTTTGTGGGCACATCCATTTGGATTTTGGTGTCTTTTTATATTGATTTTTAATGTATTTTGTGTTCCGCTGTGGACTCTTATTTAGGGTGGTACTGTCCAGCCACAGACATTATAGCATCTTTGAGCTCTTATTCCACTCTCTAATGTTAATAGTTTCTTAATTTCCATTTTATATTTTAATTTAACAGTGGTTTTGTCTCTTGCTAAGCCTAGTAAACACATAAAACTATTAGAAAGCATCCAGAGGAGGGCTCTAAGATGGTGAAGGGTGTAGAGGGGAAGCCATACAATGAATGGCTTAGGTCACTTTGTGAATTATTCTGAGTTTGCTGCCAGTAAAGACAGAGAAAAAAGATAATTCTCAATGTCAGGGATTTTTTAGGGGAAGGAAAAATCAGGTTTAAATAAAGAAAAAAATTCTAGTGAGTAGTAGATATTTTTTAGTGACTCCTATTGATTTAAAAACTGTAATGTGTATCTCTGGTAAGTCCTGGGATCACTTTAAACTTACTTTTTTATGGCATTTTTAATAGGATCATCCGTAGTTTGAATTCACAGGGTAATTATCTGACACAAATATTTCTACTCAAGAGTAAAATAAGTTCCTTGGCATTGACAACTTTTTTGTTTGTTTGTTTTAATTTGAAATTGTCCAGCATAATTAATTCTGAATCTTCTCACAAAAACTACAAATGTAGTGTTAAGCTGGCAAACAGCTGTATAGTCTTCCTGAATTTCATAGCATTTGATTTCTGTGTTACAAATAAACTAGAGCTCTGCTAAGAATGGGATGCAGTCACTATTTAGTAATGTAAGGTTTGGGATGGTTTTGTAAAGGATGTTGATATATACAGGTTTTTAAGGTGTATTCAGTTCTTGTAGGTAGTTTGGTCCTACTTTGTCCTGTGAGGAGAATATGAAACATGGCACATAATGACAAGGATTGTATTTTATGGTGATATCCTTGTAGAGTAAATAGTTCTTCCCTGTATCTATGGAATTGCCTCAGCATTGCAGGTGTATTGAAGTGGAATTGCTTGAACCACAATATTAGCAGTGAGTCAGAGATACCAGGAGATGTAAAACATCAGCACGGCAGGATAACATTATTGCAGCACTATTTGACCTCCAGTAAACATCGGTGTAAAAATTAAAAATGCTGATGTTTTCCAGGTTGATGTTCTTTATATTTGATTCACTTAATCAAGGTTATGTTTATTTTCCTCTATTTTTCTTTCACTCCTTTGAACATCTTTTTCTCACTTCACAAAGTTCTGGAATATCTGTCCCATGGAGCATCTCCTGTCTCGCCTGGAAGCTGACTCTCGGCCGGTGTCGCGGCGCATCGTGAACCTCCTGCTGAACTCCTTCTTCCCCAGTGCCCAGCCCGAGGATGTGTGGAGTGAGCGCTGTGTCACTCTGATCCAGATGAACCCAGCAGCAGCCAGGAAGTTCTATCAATATGCCCATGAATTCACTGCCCCCACCAATATAGGTAAAGCACAAAACCTTGTGAGCTTTTGGAATTACTGATATCATGCTTTGTAAATGCTTTTATCTTCTTATTTCTGTAACAGTGGTACATTGTTGCTAGTTTTTTGGGGGCAGTTTAGTATAATATTAGTGTGTATTTTTGGAAATTATGGACACCAGCAATAAGCACAGCAGGCGAAGTCATCAGCTTTTTCAACAGTGAGGAGATCAAAGCTTTTCATCTCTGTTCTTATGATGCTGCACTGTACACTCCAGCCCATGGTGGTACCTGGTCCTTCTGGTCCCCTTTCTCCCCACACGTACCTTAACATTTTCTCGGTTGATACCTATTTCTCATGTAGAAATAGGGTAGCAAATACCCTGATGCCTTAAGTGATTTGAGATCTTCATGTGAAAGATTATATAGAAACTGAAAAAACGTTTACATCTGATAATCGGGGTATCTGGGATTTGTGGATCAGTATTTTAAGATTGCTCAGGGAAAATCTAAGAAGTCCTCCTTTAGAAAGGACTGCTGCTTAGAAAAGTCCTATTGAAACAAGTAAAATCAGGAAAATTTTGTTTCAGAGGAATTCAGAGGATACTCAAGTAATCAGCATGGAGTGACTTGGGTGAGATGCTCCAACCATTGCCTCTCACTGATCATCTTGATAAGGTTATGAAATCACAGTTATGAAATCAGCTTGTTGTACTTCCACCGGAGTGGCATAACCCTTTCACTTTTTCTAGAGCTGAGCTTCTGGTTCAGGAGTGCAATGGTTGGGCTACATCTTTTCCAAAGAATGGGAATTGACACGGGGGAATGGGAATTGACATAGGAGTGAAGACTGACATTGGAAGGGATGTGTTCTTGAATGTGGGTCATTAAGTTAACAGCTATGCCAGATTAGATGTAGGAGTTGTGGAAGCTTCCTCTGGTTCTGATTTGATAAGGTGGTGGCTGTTTGTGGGTTTTTTAGTGTACTGTTTTAACAATAAAATTACAGACCCTGATAATAATGTTGTCATTTCTTCTTCATACTTGAGTATATAAAACATGTTCACATTTTTTCCATTTCCTTTACAAGGATTTTTTTTCCATTTTTTCCTAGCTGTTTCTGGTTCTGTTGCCTAGTTTTTCATACTGGCTTTCCAGCATTGTAATTAGAAGCACTTATTACCAACATTCTTAGCAAATAGTAAATATCTAATTTATTATTACTTTATTTGAATGTAGCTAAATTGATGCTCACTATTTGGCGCTGTTTGAATGCCTGCATCCAGAAAGCAATGAAAAATAATCTTCATGATAGTGGGGAAGATGATGATGATGATGATGATGAAGGTGGAAGTGAAAAGGAGAACAGAAGTGTAAGAAAGTCCACTCTATTCTAACTTCTGGTAACTTCTTTTCAGTGGTGCTTAATGTGAGACAGAATATGGCAGAAAGTATAAAGGAATGCCCTTGGGCATCTCTGGAATTGGAAGGGGAGAACTGCCATTATTGGATTTTCATGTACTGAAGTAGCAGAAATGTGGTCAAGTAGCTAGAAGAAGATAGAAGGAATATGAAGCATATTTTACATTAATAGTTGCCTAAATCCAGTGTTGATTATAAATTGGTTTGGTTTTGCAGTTAAATTATTTTAAAAATTACTATTGCACTGTATGTGAAGTTAGATTAAGACTGAATTGTGGAGTTCCTTTTCTGCAGCAACCACAGTGTCTTTCTAAAGGGTCTAGAAGGATTTTTTTTTCTAGTGTCTTTAAAGCCTTATTTTAATTTAAATTTCTATTTGAAAATATAATGGGTAATATAATCTAAATGTTTGTATTTCAGGTGTTGGATAATGTGTTGTCAGTAAATGATGTGGCCAGCATGGCAAGTTTGTTGGAGATCACTGTAATACTCTGGAGAAGCATCCACAAAGTACTAGATCATAATGAAGATGCCAAAGATTATGCTATCAGGAAGTTTGCTTCTGTGCTTCCTGAATATTTTAAAGTATTTAAGGTAAAGAAAGCCTAGATTTTCCTCTATTTTCTCAGTATTTTCTTCAGATGCTTTCATGTTTTATGTCTTTTATCTATTTTTATGGCATTAAGTATTCTTTTTCATTGTTGCTGTAAACTATAAACAGCAGCAATTTTCTTGGAATCCCACAAATGGGCAGAAACTATTCTCCAGCTGCAGTGTTTGACTGATGAATTGTTATCTAAATAGCTCAAAAATACTTATGCAATAAATTGCTCTCCTTGTAAGGTTTTTCTAGGGTTTTATTCTTTTGAATGTTTTGGAACTCTTGGAAGACAGTAAATACAAATGAGCCATTGAAGAATTAATACTCAGTACACATTGAAGTCCGTGTGTTTTTCTACCCACTGTCCCCCAGACTCTTCCACCAGCACCACTTCTTATGATTCAGCTGCAGCTGAAGCAGCTGCGGCTCTTTTTTCACTGAACATGAGCTGGCAGAGTGCACTTGCAGCCCAGAAAGCCAAACATGTCCTGCTGACCTGCTGGAGTGAGTCCAAAGGATAGCCACCAAGATGATAAGAGGGATGGAGCACCTTTCCTAAATGGAAAGGCTTAAAGAATTGGGATTGTTAAGCCTGGAAAAGAGAAGCTTTTGCAGTGACCTAATTGCAGCCTTCCAGTGCCTGAAGGGAGCCTGCAAGAAAGACAGAGAGGGACTTTTTACAGGGGAGTGTAATGACACGACAAGGGGAATGGATTCAAACTAAAAGAAAGTAGGTTTAGTTTAAACATAAGAAGAAATTATTTTTTTGTGAGGGTAGTGAGACACTGGCACAGGTTGTCCAGAGAAGCTGTGGATGCCACATCCCTGGCAGTGCTCAAGGCCAGGTTGGATAGGGCTTGGAACAGCCTGGTTAAGTGGAAGGTGTCCCTACCCATGGCAGAGTGGTTGGAGCAAGATGATCTCTAAGATCCCTTGCAACCCAAACCACTCTGTGATTCTGAGGTTTCTGCTCATTTAAATCTACTCTCTAATGATCTGTCGATGCATTTATTTATTGCTTTCATTCAGTATAGGCAGTTAATTAAAATCAGTCATTTTCAAATTGTCAGTCTCCTTGCTCTGGTTGCTTTAGTGTTATTCTTGAGGAGGATGCCATCCTGAGAGTGGCCATTAGTGGCTGCTGGCCGCACAATGAATTTGGAAGGATTACATAGTGGATATCTTTCTCTTAGTTGATGGCTTTTGTGCTGAAGTATCCTGAAATGTGGTGGCTGTTCCACTGCAATGTTGTGTTAGATAATCAGGGAGTGAAATACAGCTCATTGCTATGTATTATTTCTGCAGCATAGATACACAAATTCTACCCTGAAAGCATTTGGAAGTTTTCCAAGGCCTTCCCATTTTTTTTTGGTAGAGGATGTAGCATCCTTTCTGAAAGGGTCTGGTGAACAGACAAGACATCCAGCTTCAGCAAGCAACCTGTTTGACTTTGATATTCTTATATAGTGAGTATGCAGCTTGGATCTAAAAGGACCTGTCATCAGAGGCTTAGTTCCTAAAAGGCTACAAACATACTGAAGCTGCCTGTCTCTTTCCTGAAAAAGCTACAAATATATTTTAAAAGTTCTTTTAAAAATATGAGCTTTAAAAAAGGTTTTAGATCTTGGAATGGCTAAGTAGATGATAATTTCATTTGGCTGTTTCCATGAACCTTGGACATTGAGAGAAGCCATTTTTGAAGGGTTCTTAACTTAGATTGGTTTGTGTATAACCTGAGTGAGATGATGTTGTGGCCTAGACCATGTATTATGACATGTTAAACATTACCATCCTTATATAAGAGCCCTTTTCTTTAGAGAGTTTTTAATAAGTTTGTCTTGTGAATGAATTTAAGGCACTTAAGGTTGAGAGGAGTTAGATGGTGTCATGGTTGTGCAATTAAACCTTAGTCTAGTGGAAAAAAAAGTGATGTGGAGCTGCTATTTCTTTTGCAATGAGTATTAATCTAATGGAGCCATGACTATTCATGGTAGTTAATGCTGGCAGTTTGTCAGAAAGTGAAGGATATGATAATTGGTAATTGACCTCCAAAAACAGGAATCAGACATTTCAGATTGCAAGCCATATTGTTTTGAGCTCTTTTCAGCTCCATTTGTAGTGGAAAAAGGAAATCCTTAATTTGAGGAAATGTAATCACAGTTTTTCAGTACAGTCTTTAGTTTTGCTTGCATGTGTGTACCTTTATGTCATACAGTGTAATGTTTTTATCCTAGGATGAGCGGTGCATGGCTCCACTGATTATTCTGGCATCCTTTATGCCCCCTGCTGCTATTCCTACATTCAGGTACTGTTTAGAAATCCAAAATGCAAGTGACAAAAAGTTTCTTGCTGGCTATATTTGTTCATTTTTTGCCATCTGATATATTAAATGCCCATTTGGGTAAATTAAGACACTAAAACTGTGATAAGTCAGTAAAATCTATGATGTTCAGGTCTGTCTTGTTGGTGAATCCTTTTTTTGTATTACACTAATTGTTTTCTGCACTTATGGGTGTGAAGGTAATGTATCTTTCTGTCTGTTTTCTTTTAAGCTGTGGTGTGGTTTCCAGACTCAGAAATATTGACAGTGGAGCTGACCAAAACAAGTATTCTATGCTGATCGACTGCCTGTGCCGCTGGGGTCAAGTGGGGCACATTATGGAATTGGCCTGTGATTGGCTGTCTGACTCACTCAGCCCAACAAAGGTGTGCCTATGCATGTGACAGGGAGTATAGCAATTGCCAGACTGCTTTAAGGCATCGTGCTTTTTTAAAATAGAGTAAGACTTTTTAATGCTGTATTATTCTGCTTTGTAATCAGTTCTAAAGTCAGATACTAACAGAGTTATACTGGTTTTGTGCTTTCTTCCTATTCAGAATACTCAAACATCTGGGCGTCGAGTACGTATCCATGTAACACAGGAATCAAAGCCAGACTTGGCAATTGATTACATTGAGTATTTATTGACTCATCCTGTCAATTGTGGTTGCCTCCTTTCTGTTCCTAAAAATAAACTGAAGAAGCTTTTGAAAATCCTCGGTGCTGCAAAGGTAGTTTTCTCCTTCTCATAAACAGTGCTTATAAAATCACTGCTTAACATCCTGTATTGCCTGAGTCAAACTAAAATGCCTGCAAGAACAAATACATGAGGTTCATGATGCCCTCTCCCTTTGCAAAAAGATTTTTTTGTTAAACGATTTTCCTTTTGATTTGTATTTCCAACAAATACTCTAAACTAAAAGTATAATAGTTTAAAATTGTTTATAGATGACAGATTTTGACCAGCTTCTTAATTTTAGGTGTCTCAAAATTTTTGTGATCTAGTGTTGGGTGTTTTTAAGGGACCTGACTTGTAGAATATGCGAATAAGGAATTGTCTGAAAATCAGTTATGGCACTGAAAAATTGAAGTAATTAAAGTATGCTTGTTGCTTATTTGGGGTTGGTGCTTTGCTGTTTTTATGGGTTTGAGGTTTTTTTTTAATGTTTTATTTAAAGCTGTTGAGTAAAGAAGCATTTGAAAGGTTTTTCTGAAAAATATAAATGTCATTGATATTTCAGAGGGTTCTTGGCTCAATTCTGAAAGGAACAGATTCTGGTGCCTGGAATCAAGCAACCAGCCTAAGAGCCTTCAGCCTCTTTTGCAGATTGGCTATTCATTTTCAGCACAAGGTATGGTTATAGCTTTCCAAAATAAGCTGGAGTTACACTTGACAGTATAAGGAAGTACCAAAACAACTGGAGAGACAATTGGTAAACCTCCCTTTGGGTTTGTTTTTTTTTCAGTATTCTGAAGAAGGAGAAGATCACCTTTCACTTCTGACGAAGACAGGTGCTTGGATAGAAAGTGAAGTTGTACCTTTTATCCTAGCAAGTGATGAAGAGGATGGTATTTCAAAACGTAGTGATGTTTCTCAATTAATTATCCAGGTTAGAGGATTCTTATAAATTAAGCTGCTTTGAATTTGAAAAGCTGTCGGTGTAGCAATTTGTATGCAGACAAACTGCACTGGCATTTGTGTCATCACTTACAGTGTCCCTTACCCCTGATCTTGATTTGCCCTTCAAAGAAAGCATTTTATGATATAATGTGGGTGAGGTTTTAGCTAGTTCTGAATTGTTTTCTGTTGCATTCCTCTGACATTTCGTTTGACCCCAGGTCAAATGCACTGAGCTTTTACCAGATTTTGGTTCAAGGAAATACTTGGCTAACTTTGATCCCAGTCAGTGTCTTTGAACAACCCAGTTCATATATACACAGACTGGTTAGAAGTTCTCACTCACTGTCTATACTTCCATCTCATAATCTGTTTAGTATGTAACAACTAGTCTGTAGGGAAAAACTTTTTGTGTGCTGATTCTAATTTTGCTATTAAAGGCAGGTAGAGATGTCTTATTTTGCCTCAGTAAATGATAAGTATCAATGCTTTTGATCTGAGCCTGAGTAAAAAAGAGAGGATTTACTGCCTTTTGAGAAATCATTTACTGTTGGGAAAGGGCAATGGAAGCATTTCAAGGACTGTGTAGAATTTATGCTTTTCAACAGGTGTAAACTGAGTAACTCCAGGTAGGTACACCAGCTCTCAGGACACCTTGGCTAAGAGTTTGTGGTTTTATTGAGTTTTACTGAATGATTACTTTACATAAAGTTTGGGTTTCCTATAATTTTGCATCTCTCTTCTAGGCCTACCTGACAGTGTGTAAAGATGTCATAATGGTGGGCCTGGGAAATGTCACGTTTCAAGCACGCCTTTTAGAAATGGCCCTTCAGATTGTGCAAACAGGTACCCTATTTTATACTAACAGCAACATCTGCATTTATACTTGGCAGACTTTTCTTGTATTAGCAAGTTAGTTAATCCCTAACTTTTAAGAGTTGGAGGGAACACTGGATTCATACTTCAAATGTTAAGTGGACTGGATGAAAATTTCAGCTGAGGGTGCTCAGAAACTAAATGTATTGTCTACACTTGTAAACTGTCACTATTTGTTGTAGCTAAATGAGTTTCAGTCTAAGATTGTACCTGATTAATATTACAACTTTTATATTGTGGCATTTATCTCTTTCTCTAGAAAGAGGTGGCTTTTGTGCTCCAGTGTTGCTGTGTGTTCTAAAAGAAATTATTGAAGCTTCTTTAAATCAGAATACTGAGACAGAGGAAGTGACAAATCTTTTCCACACTCTACAGAACGTCTTTCAGAAAATTTTAGAATGTATGGCACATGGACTTAAGAAAGAACAGGAAGCAGGAATTCAGGTATCATATTACAGTTCAAATTGCTAATGTGTAGATGAATCCATAATTTTTATGCAATGGGGTGTGCTTAGACACTTTGAGGTTGTTACTTTGCTATTACCAACTGTTTGGATAGACACATGATTAAATTTTCAGTTAAATTTTCAAAGTTTTCTTGTTACCAAATTTTTTTTGATCCATTTTGGTCTCATCACGACAGAAGAACCAGTAAATTGCAGAACAAATGCATTCTGTTGCCAGTGATTCTGGACCGTGGTGGTACTTCTAGGCTGTTAATCTAATCTGCAATTAGATGAATTTCCTCAATGCAGAGCAAATGATTTGTGTGTATATATATATATATTATGATCTTGGAGGAGAAATTTTCTTTATTATTTCTTTCTTTTAGCCTCAATGATACCAACTTCAAAATATGTATGATGTTCTAACATTCTTGAAAGTCTCACATTTTCACAGAAAGTAGACTAAAGCAGATACAAAATAGTAGTGAAATGGGTAGATCACTCTGAGAAATTTGCTGATCTACTTTTCAGGACTTCTAAAAAACATTCAGTTATTTTTGTAAGAACCACTGCTTTGTTCATTTCTCAAATTTATAAGTAGACTTCCTAGTTGTTGCAGATTCCCCCTCTGATCCCATATGACTAGAATAACTCAAAAGCTTTTAAGGTGTGGTCCGCACTTCACAGAGACGTTTGCTGGTATATTTAATTTATACTCAAGCAGTCTGAAAAAACAGATGTGTTTTTCTTTTTGGTTTTAGTTGATTCACTCCATTCAGATGCCTCTTGGAGAATTCATCCATGCACTGCAGTGCTGGCATTCCACATTCCCAGCAGTTCACCAGGGTATACTCTCCACTCTCCTGGCTGCAATAGTAGCAGAGATAAATTGTATGCTACAGAAGGTAAAGTTAATCCTGATTTTCTTTTTTCTATTTAACACCTTCTGCTTTTTAAATATTATATTGGAATGACAGAGCTTTATTCAGAAAATTGATCTTTGTACTGCCAATGAGGATTTTGTGTGTGTCAGCATGGAACAAACAGGAAATTTTATTTGCTGTAATTTTGTATTAGCATTCATCTCTCAGATTTCTGACTACAGCTGTGTAGGAACAGACTTGTCCTGATGCCCATTTCAGTATCTGCCTCTGACAAGAGAACTTAGCAGTTAGGCAGTATTGGGGAATTATAGCATGGGTTCTGGGATATTCCCTCTGTGCTTTTGTGCTGGGTCTGGCTGGGAAGGAGTCAGCTTTCCTCCCTGCAGTCCCTGTGCTGCTGTGGTTGGCATTTGTAGCCAAGACATTGTTGAGGACACACCAGTTTGTTTTGGCTGTTGCTGAGCGTTGCTTTGCAGAGTGTCAATATTTCCCTGCTTCCTTCACCTTCACTCTAAAAAAAAAGTGAGGCTGTTGATGGGCAAGAGAGGGAACACAGCTGAGACCATGGGCCCAAACTGATCAAAGGCCTATGCCACACCGTGCAGTGTTGTGTTCAGCAATTAGAGCTCAGGGAAAGGAGGAGGACAGGGGCTTGTTCTAAACCTACCTCACTTCATCCCACCCAGCATAAGGAAGTTTTGGAAGTGAACAGCTGATGTGTGACAGATTCCCATTCCCAATTCTTGGAATGTTCCCATAAGGTTCTGTAGTCCTGTTCCAAAGCAGGCTGATGCCCTCCTTGGCACTGATCACTTGTCCATTCTCTGATTCCATGCAGAGGCATTTAACATGCTGCATCTTTTTTTTTTTTTTTTATTCCTTTAGTTTTTGTGCAGAGGATTTCCAAATATCTGATCTATGTTGCTTTGGAAAGTAAAGAAAGGGTCTCTAATACTGAAAAGGATGTGTAGAGAGAGGTTATTTTATGTTCTGAAAGTCCCAGGAGCCACAACTGTCCTTGAAGGAGAAGAGCAACATTTCCACCCCATTTTTCTAGTGCAGGTAGTGTTAGAAGCAAATATGATTAGTAAGATTGGAAGCTTTGAGAACTAAAAAGGAAGAGCAGAGGCTCTTTAGTAGAGGCTGTACTTTTGCTGTGGGTTCTGGATGTGTCAGAAACAGAGCACAAAACAGTTGCCAGAAGGAACCACAGAGCAGCTTCCAAGGTTCTGTTACAGGAGGCACTGAAGCAGTAGCAGCTGTTTGCCTGCAGATATTGATGTATCAGCTGAGAAGCTGTGGGGTGACAGGTGCTCTTTACACATGATGCTGAGAAAACATTTCTGGGCTTGAATATAGTGGAGATTCATACTCAGAGATTGAGTGCTCATTCCAGTCACCTATCTGAGCTGGGGTTTTCCGTGCCCCCCAGGTTGTTGTAAATCAGCATTCAGTTCTAGCTAAATATTTGTCATCTGTTCAGAACTTTACATCAAAAAGAGCAGGTAGCCAGAAAAACACTGTCACTGAAGTTACATTTAGAAATCATGGATGCAGACTTCAACTTGGAGCCACAGAGGGGACTCATTTGTGTTTAATAGGCTGTGCCTTGGTAAGGATTGACCACCAATGCTGTTTAAATTAAACTTCTGGTGAAAGCAACTGCAGAGAATATCTGCTTTGGTAAAAATACTGTTTATGTGGTTTAGTTTCTAATTTAAATTAGTTTTGTTTGTTTGGACACAACACAGTTGAATTAAAGCTATTCAAAGAATACTTGTGAATGTTCCAATTGTTAGTGTAATTATTAAAATAAAATATTCTGCATACATATCTTTCTTGAGCTGCAATGGTTGTTGACTTATTTCTTTTGTAGGCTTCCAGTGAAAAAGACTTGACTATGCCAAAGAGTATTTCAGACCTTCCCCCTCTTTCAAGCAGTTTAATGGCTGTAATTATGAAGTCAGTTAATGTTGTCAGGTAAATGTTTCTATATTAATTTTTCCAAGACTTTTGCTAATATAGAACAGTTTATATGTTGTCAATAAAATTTTAATTTCTAAATTCAAATAAATTTTGAAGAACTAGTTGCTTTCTAAATTTATCTGAACTATTTAAAATCCCTTTTTCTTGGCATATTGCCTGTAGGTATTGATTGCTGGGGTTGAGTCCATTTTTTTAACCAAGGGTGCCTCTTATTTACAAGACTGTTAATAATTGAGTTTTTTTAATCATACTTCTTGGCTTGCTTCTTTCATAAGACACTTATAAAGCTGAGTCCCCTCAACACAGAGATATTAAGATGAGATAAAATATTTTCCAGAAATAGAATGAATCCTTTGATTGAACATCTGCAATTAGGTGACATGTACCTGTGGCTGTATTAAAGTCACAAGATTCAAAATAGGAAGCATCTGAGTGCTGAAAGCCTCCAAAAGTGAGCTTATGTTATTTATTTTTTAAGACTTAAACTGGGAGGGTATTTGCTCTCTTTAGTGGGGGCCCTAAATATCTTCTAAAATTTTCACAACTGAATTTCATTTTGCATGGTTTGTTCATATTCAATTTTTCTTAACATGACTCTACACTAGACTTGTTTTAAATTATAAAGGGGCTTAGAAGTCCTATTGCTCTCCTTGACTTACCACTGCTAATTCCTCCTCTTTCCTCATCTGACAGGCACTGAATACCCCTGTCTCTGCTGTTATGAGGTGTTTTGTTTTTTCTCAATCCTTCTCTAATTCTAGTTGAACTTTCAAAACAAAAGACTCCAGAGACTCCAGCAATAGTCCAACTAATCCAAATCTTGCCACGAGGCAGCTGCTCAAGGTGTTCTCTTCTAGTGAAACAATTATTTTACACATCTCTTTTCAAAAGAGATGCAGAGAATCAGTTAATTCTTCTGAAACTTTTTCTTGTAGTAATCAAAGTGAATCTTGTCATTCTTGGTGGAGAAAACTGCAAGTTTGAGCCAAATTGTTTCTGTGTACTTGGGAAAAAAATGTATCTTCTGGTCTTTATCTTTTTGGGGCAAAGATTTGGAGATAATTTCTCTCTGGTTCTACAGGTGCCTCAGAGCTGACACTACTTTTAAGGCTTTTTTAACAAATCTGTATTGATAGGCCATAATCAGAATCCAGTAGTGAATGGTTCAGTATTTCAGAAATCTTTAGGTCAACATGAAAGCTTCTGCTCTGTGAGCTCAGAGTCATCTTGCTCTGAGTTCTGCAGAATCTGTTTTATTTTCAGTACCAACCACTCAGTCTCTAGCACTGAATTTCAATGCCCCTAGCAGTGATAATACTGGGAGGCTTGGCAATATCTGTCCAATTGTGTGAGTATCCTTCATTTTAGTAGGGAACTATCTGTATAGGAACCAATTACTTACCTCTGAAGCTTATATATATTTTAAACAGCTTATTGTTCTGTTCTATCTTTGCCTGCAGGCTCATGTGACCCTTTTTCAGAGGGTGGTGGGGAAAGGCAGCTTCAGTGAGTCTTGTTACAGGTTAATGAAATTCCAGTGTTCCTTCATGGAGGTTAAGAGTGTGCTTAGTGACCCAAAGAATGATAACAACGAAGTCAAGACTCAGATCCCAGTGCTGTCCATTAGCAATTTAAGAGCAAGGTGAAATGGAATCAATGCTTGGTCACATTAGTCCACAATGATACAATGAAACTAAAGCATTGCATGAGCAGCTTCATAATGCTTATCTCTGAAGCTAAAGATTTTTCATCTTTCTCAGCTCTTGAAGCAATATTTGAATTTCTGCAAAACGTTTCTACTGAATTGGCTCTTAACTGCATATTTCATTTTGATATCTTAGCACAATAAAAGCCTGAAGAACAATTGAAGTCAGAACTGGCAATGTATGATGTTCAGTTTTCATAACAGATAATAATATTGCTAAAGGTTTTTTGAAATATGTTAGGGAAAGTTTCTGTAGCATTGCTGCTCTCAGTTTTCCCTTTAGTTCTTCACAGAGCATTTTGCTTTGTGCTCTGAGGAGTATCAGGATTATGGATCTCTTCCATCTCCTGTTTTGTCCCTCTTGTTCTTTTATTTTTCTCTGGTTTTGAGAATTGCTTCTGAGTTAAATTTAGGTTTTTTACCACAAACACTAATGACCAGTTAGTTTCCTTTCTGTGGTATTGACTTATTCCCTACTGCAGTTTAGTTTGGTTGCTGGACCCCATCTGGGACTCTCATTTCATTTTTCTTACCTTATATAAGGTAAGACATATATCCCAGAACACCACTAGAGTTTGCTGGTAATACTTTCATCTCTTGCTAGAAATCACAAAATCTCTTAAGATATATATTGAGTTAGTATTTTACAAGGAGCTGCTGTCATGGTTCTGGTATTCTGTCCATAGTTTCAGTAACTAAAATGTTGCATGGATGCGTTTCAGAGCATTGTTCAGTTATAAATGATCTCCACTGGGTTGGAATTGGAAAAACATCTGTTTTAATATTTATGAGAAACACATTTAAGATCAAAATGTTAATTAAGCCTGAGTAGGCACTAGCAAACCAATGGAGTCATAGAATATATTTTTTCAAACTTCAGTACAAATTTGAGTTGGTAATTTCAGTACGAATTCTGGGAATTAAATTCCAGTAGAACCAGTAGTTTTTTCATGGATTGACTTCCCTAAAATGTACCACAAGCTCTTCACTTCTCTTAACAGCCACTTTTTCTGGTTGCAGACTTTTTTATTTTCTTCCCAAGCAATTTACCATGCTTTGATATTCTCAGATCCAGAGGCAGCACATAATTTTCAGTTACCCAGTCACACTGCTTTGTCCTGCATGGTGTCTTTGAAGCTGTGGTGGCAGACTAGCATAATTACAAACATGTTCTGTTCAGTTCTATTTTGAAAGAAATGTGGTTTATAACATTTTTCTTTATTTTTTTTTCCTTAGGTCAATTTTAAATGAATTAATGGAGTCCATTCTCTCTGAAGAAATCAAAGGGATTCTTAGTCTAACAGCTACTGTCTGCATTGTGATTACAATTAAAGGTCAGTTAAAACATTTTTGTCCTTTTTCCATCTTTCTTTTTATGTACTGTATTGAAATACACGGTAGTTAATCCAGGGCAGTGAAAATCCACTTTTATATCTAATCTTCCATTAAGCAATCTTTTATGTTTAAAGTTAGTCTATGAAAATATGGAAGGGTGGAGGGTTTTTTTTTTGATAAATTATTATTTTTGTCCAACATTATTATTTTTGTCCAACTCATTTCAAATAGGTAAGCACAAAACTTCACTTCTAAAGGATATTGCACCTGCCATTCAAAGGAAGCTGGTAATATGCAAGGATGCTGCCACAGGAGAATCCACAGACACTGAAAGGTGGGTGTGCTGAGCTCTCCTATCCCCTCTCTGCAATAATTGGCTCTGTTCTGTACTTACATAACGCTGTTAGAGTGTTCTGAGTGATTGATTGCAAGGTTTAAAATACTGGGGAGGGGGGGAAGTGGGAGGTATTGAGCCCAGCACAGTATTAAATTTCCTGCCCTTATATCTGCTGTGATTGCAATCTTTACATATTTAGCTTCAGGCTTTTTTCATTTAATTTGAATGTGCTATCACTTGATCCTGTATATTGCAGGATTCACTTCTCAAATCCAGGTCTGTTTGCAGCAGAGGCAGAACAAAGCAAATAGTCCAGTTACTGTTTCTTATTACTAGAAGATTTTTCTCCCACTTTGGCATTAGGCATATGAGTCCAAATCTATGCAGGTAGTAAAAATTTAACTGAATATAACAATGACTTTGAGACCTTTCCACAGGTGATTTTATTTTGCTCTTTTTGTTGGGGGGGGGATTTCAAGTCATATCTTGTGTATCTTTTGTGAAATGTTTTTTGAAAGTGATTGGCTGCATTGTATTTGCAATCAGTTATCTCAGGCCTGTCAAGATAAATGTTTTAGCCTTTAGTCTCTCAAACTGGCTTAAGTCTTAAAATTTGTGAACACCTGATTTCTGCCTAATTATTGAACTGCCCATGGAATCAAAAAGTGTGCAAAGAGACATTATAAGCACAAATACAGAATGTGAAGAAACCAGACTGAGGTTATGGACATTAATCCAAAATTTCTGAGAAAGTTTGCAGCACACCATTGAGGCCTGAACATGCACAGGCCCTTGAAGTCTTTCATTCTTCAAACTAATGATCCTTGCTATTGGGTCAAACAATGGATGTAGAGTAGACAGACTTTAAAATAAAAAAACCAAACCAGAGCCTCCCAAACAAGCCCAAAAGCCCATTGTATAGGAACCTCATTGCATAGGAGTTGCATTTACTCAACAGTTCCTTGCACAGCTCTTTCCCAGTGTGCTCTTCTCATGTATCCCTGGCTTGAAGCACATTGTTCTCTGGAATTTTAGTGACTTGACACAGACATTGGTGGCTGAGCTGTGCCTCCATCCGGAGGATGGTGCTCTGACTCCCTTCCAGTACCCAAAAGAGACCTGCAGGAAAGCTGGAGAGTTGCTTGGCTGTGAACAAAATGTCCTTTGGTCAGCAGCTAGCTTAGAAACAAAATCAAACACAAATAAACAAAAGCCCATTCTTTTCCCCTTGAAATTATTTTACAATGGGTTGCCAAGTGTTCTACTAGAATATTTTTAACAATTATAATAATAATTATCTGGAAAAGGAGAGCAGCAGGGTATTGTGTTTCAGTTTGCACTTCTAATCAAGACAGTAGAAAAAGCTGTGAAATTAAAGTGAATCTTAACATGATTAAATAAATAGGCACATTAAAGTGAATAATTGCTGCCACTTGAGAGCACTAGTGACTATAAATTTCAGTGAGAACACAGATAATTGCTTTATGAATCTATATGATTGTCTCTGCCCAGTGAACTGGGACAAATCAACCTGCATGTTGGGGCAGATGAAGAGTATAAGATGCTACACAGTGTTTTAATTTCGTGATATATGAGTGGCTACCTTTGCAACTGCCTCCTGGGTTGGTATTATACAGACAAAATTCAAGGGTTAGGGATATGATAATGGAAAGATTTTTTTCCATGAATTGAAATTGCACACCATGATAAAATTCAGAAGCTATCACACAGCTTTGCAGAATTTGGAGAGATTTCATATTTGTACAGTTGTGTTAGGGACATTTTCCCTCCAGAAGGATACAATAATTCATGATGGAAAGAGGTTTGGAGGAAGTTCTGCAGTGATCACGTTTTGCATGATGGATTGAAGTGTGCTTGCAGTCTCACAGCTAAGACAGAACATCAGACTGGGCCAAGCCTCTGGTGGCTTCTGATGTGCCATTTGTAGTGCTCTGCTGCTTGTGTGCTAATGTAGCTAAAATGTGATTATACATGGTCCAAAGCATGCCCTATTGTTTGTAAACTATTTTATCATCGTTTGTTGTTGTTTTACCAAACAACAAATTTTAGTTCTGGTATGCTGCAAGCTAGATCTCTGGTCATTAATTCCAAGACAGTCCTCTAACACACATTACTGTGCTGCTGCTGGCTAAAATACATTACTGGGTTTTAACTCATTCTCAATAATATTACTATTTTTTGCTTCTGAATGCATTATCTCCTAATAACTCCTTGAGGGATTATTTTATTCAATACCCAGGTATACCAGGAAATGGTGACATTCTTTAATTTCCCAAGAGAACTGGCATTCTGTGCCAGCATCTTAACTTCAGACTTAGGAGTAATCTCGTACATATTAGCAATGAAAGAAAAAAAAGTAAAAAAGCTGTCTGGTGTGGTAATTAAGGTGCTGCCCTTATACAAGGAATTGGTGCAGTAATTCAGAAGCAAAACTTTTCACTGCAATTTACTCTTCCCTCTTCAGCTGAGCTTGTGGTTTCAGATGGTCCTGTGGGTCTGTATTTTAAAAATGCTGTTCAGTGCATTTAAAAAATCTGGACAACATACTGTGTATTGAGAGAATTTCCTCAAGAGTAATGGCACACACGTTTGTTTATAAAATGCAAATATTTATGCCTAAGAAAAACATGCAGATAAAGCTGTCAAAGCAGTTGTTTGGAGGCTAGAGAAAAATGTCTCATTCTATAAAACCTAATGTGCTTATAGGATAATAAATTTTACTTAATACTGTGTATTTACTTTATTTAGCATTTTGATATATGAATATTAGATTTTAAATTTAGCTAATGGCTGTGCTGAAATATTTTATTTTAGTATTATCATTTAGCTAGTTCCCAAATTCTTAATTGCACTGTCATTGTGTCTGAGAATAATTGCTCTTGAATAGTTTTGGTGTATAACTCCGGGTATGATTTCTCTGTCTCCCATCTTTAAGTTCCCTAGGAAGGTACTTGGTAAAACTGACTTCAGCTTGTCTGTTTGGGAGGAGCAGAGTTATCCCAAGTGATGGCTTTTGGCCGATGTGCCAGTGGTCCCACATTACAAATCCATTGGGTTTTTAGCCTTGATAAACTGTAACAAAATAAAATTTATACAAAGCAGCATTGTGCCTAAACCCACAGAACTTAACTAATTCTCCTAATTCTGTAGTACCTTGTGCATTACCTTTAGTTGACACTGGAGTTTCATCCTGGCTTTAGGGCTGTGGCACTGCAGAGGGGAGCATGAGATGAGAGATCAGAGTCAGAGCAGGGCTAAGGGGAGTGTGAGGGCAGCTCGAGGAGGCTGCTGCTAATGAGGGTGAAATTGAAAGCATGGGCTTGGAAAAAGTTGCCACAGGTGAGAAGAAAAATTATAAAGACTGAAGAGGGAGGGAGAAATGAAGAAAGTAAACAAATGAAAAATAGTCTTAGAATGAATTACCTGTAAAGGATTTCACTGTTTTGTTTGAATAAAAGAGTAACAATGCTGTGCAGAAAACGAGTGGGTTTTTTAACTAGATGATGAAATATTAGAAAATGTTCTTGAATTGACATAGTAATTTAAACTGGTTTGCTGTTGGTTATTCTAGAGACAGGGATGATGAAGAGAAAAATGGAAAAGTTGAAAGAAAAAGAATCTAGCTATTTCAAAAGTAATTGGTAAAGGCATTTTAATAAACTAATATGGACTAACTGGTCAAAGAAATCATGTGGTAGCTGTACTCTGAGAATCAAATAGTTGAGGATTGATTTGGCATTTAGTATTTCTAATTCTGCTATGCATTGTTTTCTGGCATTTCAGATTCCTGTGTGAATCATCTCTGAAAATTTTGGATGAGCTTTTGAATCCTTGAGCACGCAGAAGCTTTTGTCATGAAAATTGAGGGAAGGTGTATTGCTTTGTAAAAAACTTACCTTGTAAACTTGTGAATTGCTTAAAACTGTTTTCTCTTATTCTGTACATTTAAAGCAAGCAAAATGTATAAAAGTATGTATAAAAATTATGTAATAGTAAATATTTTTCAACAGCTGCAAAAGGGTTGTTCTGTATAAAAATGTCTTTTTGGGGGAAGTGTAAAATCAGTATTTTTGTATCTTTGTTTTTGTAAAACAAATAATAATTATATCATAGATACTCTTGAGACTGAGGTCACACATAACCTCAGGCCTTGGGAGGACTGGAGCATATTCCTAGGGGTTATGGAAGTGAATCTTACTTTGAGATATGTGAAGGTCAAAATGGTGATTGGGAATAGCATCATGGCTTTACCAGGGGCAAACTGCTTAACCAGCCTGACTTCCCTCCCTTTTGTGGAAGAGAGGGCACAGCATGTCCTGTTTCCTATCCTTGGCAAAGACTTTTACACAGTCTTACACAGTGTCCTTACAGCCAAACTGGAGAGAGAGAGGATGGATGGATAGACTTGGAAGATGAGTGGAAAACTGGCTGGACCATCAGAGTGGAGGAATAATCTGCGAAGGGATGTTTTGGCAGCTGTGGCACTGCCAGGGCTGGTTGGTGGCAGGGTGAGCAGCAGCCTTGGACTGATGGCAGATGACAGCAGCTGGGAGCCACAGCTCCCAGCCACAGCAAGGGGCATCTCCTGATGTTCAGCAAAGACCTGGAGCTGATGGACAAGTCCTGCACCACCCCCACAGGCACCTGCACGAGGGCAGCTTCTTGCTGCCTGCACCTGCCTGCAGGAGGGTAAAGGAAAGACTTTCCCCAGAGATGGATGGAGGAGAATATGAGGCTACAGGAGCAACTTGAGCAAGGGAATTTCTTGTTGGACATGAGAAACAATCATTATGAGAGGAAAATGGAACTGGAAGAGGTTGCTCGGAAAGCCTGTGGAATACCCATCCTTGGAGATGTGCAGAACTTGGCTGACAAGGGGGGAGTATTGAATATTCAGATGATTCAACACCTCATACACTGCAGGGAGATGTGTTAACTATTAAACATAGGCTTGAGTAATGTATAATTTTTTTATATTTAACTATTTTTTAAAATTATAGCTATTTTGATCAGTTAGTACTAAGGATGCAGATATTGCAGGCATCTAAGCCACTTATTTAATTTTCTTCATGCAACCAGATGCTCTCCCAGTGATGCCTTATGAAGGCTGACCTAGAATAGGGGCTAGACAGTGTTAAAGGAATAAAGTAGGTATTTATTAAAAGGTGTACTACACCTTGGGCAGCACAAGAGCCCAGCCAGGGCTACACCCAAGATGAACCCAAAATGGTCACAAAATGGGTGACCAGTCACGGGATCTCTCACTTTTATCAGTTCTGGTCCATTAGCACATTGGAGTTAATTGTCCAATTACAGCTTTAGCCCACAAAGTCCCATCCTTCTTCTCTCTTCAGTCCATGTTGTTTATCAGGGTCTTGGGCCTGAGATTTGGATCGGTTGTCCTTGGTCCCCAGCTAGAGAATCCTCCCCCACAGTTTATTGCTGAGCATGGTGCCAGATGGTGTGAGACATCCCTTTGGCCACTGGGATCCCCTGTCCCAGCTGTGTCCCCTCCACACTCCTGGTGCACTCCCAGCCTCCTTAGGGGTGGGGTGAGAAGCAGAGAGGCCATGATGCTGTGTAAGCCCTGCTCAGCAATAGCTGAAACATCTCTATGTTACCAGCACTGTCTCCAGCACAAATCTGAAATCCAGCCCTATGCCAGCTACTGTGAAGGAATTTATCTCAGCCAGAACCACAGCTCCTGATGCTTTAGTTTTGTCTGGTTTAGGAGATTTAACAGGAATCTCCAGAAAACAATTCAGCCACAGACCAAAGTTGCATCCTCCAACTTAGACCTGGAGACTTGGACATAAAGCTCTTGGTTATGTACAGTTAAGTGATTCTCAGGGTGGGCCTGTGCAAATGGCTGTTGAGTCTCCAGTGTTACTGAGGGGCACTGACACTGAAGTTAACTAATCTGGCCAAATTAATGCAGGCTCTTCATTCTTGATTAAGATTTGTGCAAAGCTGTACCTCTCATCTGCTGTGCTGGTTTTCTTTCCATGGTAAAAGACTGTAAGGTTTTTTTAGTATCTGCTGTCAGTGCAAACATCAGACCCATACTTCAGCTTGGTACATAAACCTTCCCTACTGGATAAAAGCTGTTTTAGCTGGAATAGTGATATTTTATTTTATTCTTAATAAACAACTGGTAAGCTTTGCAACAGGATAGTTAGTGTGTACATGGATTCATGAGTTCCAGATGCACCTCATCCACAACACTGGCCTGACCAAAGGAACTAATGCTGCCCCAGCAGGTAGCTGCAAATCTGCCAACTGTTTATCTATCAACATCTTTATAAAAACTGTGTTCTTTGGCCTTCATTCTTCTACATCTGTTAACAGGCAGGTGTTCCGGTAATGACCTTTTAAATCTTCTGATTATACAAATTACTCAATGAATATGTAAATAAGTTTCCTTTTTCTGCTTCTCAGTCTCTCAGTATTTGCTCATATCATTTGATTAAAAAAGAATCCAAATTTACTGCTTTGTTTTCCCTCAGTGTATAATTTTGTTTTATTCATGGAATTCATAGTACAGATGCAATAGTCCTGTGAGCTAGGAAAGAAATAAAGGTCATTCCATCAACATCAGAAATACGGTGGATTTTCTTTGAAGAACTCAGAGGTGATTACTGCTAGGAAGGGTAAAATATTTAAAGATAAACCTTTGTTTTCCTGGTGGCTGGTAGTCAAGTGGTTCTTAAGAGGGTTGAAATAATTTTCTGTTAGTCCTGCAGCTGGTGAACATATTTCAGCTCAATTTCTAGTCCGGCTCTACTAAACTGCTCTGCCATGAAAAAAGCATTGTCTTTCTGCAATAGAAGTAATGGTGTTGGCATTCCTTGAGTCAAGGTCTGTCAGGGCTTTCTCCTTAGGCCTTTGTGGCAAATTTCACAGAATATCAGAGAAGTTCTGTGTTTCACTTGCTGTTCTCATTGCAAACTTTAATCTTGCAGAAATTAAATCTACTTTTTCCTTCTGTTTGGAAGAGACAAATAAATAGGCCATTTCTTAAGCTGTTATCTTTTGTCAACCTGTAAAACAGATTTGTTTCATCTTATTAATCAAAAGTGCTGTTGGGGAAGAGGTGATTATTCTTTGAGCATGTTTGAAAACTTCTCTTAATCTTGAGACAGACCCTTTGAGATCTGTTCAGCTGTTTGAAGAAGTTGAACCTGACTGATTAATAAAATTTCTTGAAAAATGAACAAGAAAACACCAGTCTATGATACTCCTTTGGGCAACTGGCAGGTGCTGGTGATGAAGAGCTGCCTGCAGAAGAAACGTTCTGGACACATTTGTACCTGTGAGTGCCATGTCTGGAGCTCTTCCCTTTGTGGATATGCAGTCAGGTCAATGAGAATGAAGAAAGCAATAACTTTAAACTACTTTCACTAATCAACATTTTTTGTAAGGACTTGGGCTGTTTTTGTAATGACAATGTTAATTTCCTTTGTTGTCTGGACAGGAAGCAAAGCCCTGCATCTGCCATCTGTCACAAGTTCAACTTGTGAGCTAGGAAAAGCCAGGATAACTTCTCAAGCTTCTTTCTTAGCAAATAAATGTCTTCAGGTATGGATCCCAGCACACAAACTTTCAGAATAGCCAAGGACGTTAAAAAAAATCCACCTTGCACCTGTTGTTTGCTCCATGAGAGCTGAAACTCACTTTTTATTTAAACTCCCATGTGCTGCTCTCAAGTGTTCTGAGGTCTTCTGACTTTCACAAGGAAATCAGACTAATTTTTAAGAAATCTTTCACCTTACCCGAAGGATGCTTAATGAAGGACATTCCTGATGACTGTGATGTGAAACCATGACACACAGCTGTGAACTTCCCATATTTTTTGCTGATCTGCTCCAGTGTCTTGCAAACCAAGAGCATTGCAGAGTCCAGCCCTGCCTGTGCCAGGAGCCCCTGTTGTGGCTGCTGCCCGTGTCCGAGAGAAGAGCATGGCTTGGTGCTGGCACCTGGACCAGCAGCTGGCCAAGGGCAGCTTTCAGGAGCAGCTGCAGATTTTCCACCGGAGGCCAGCAGTTCTTCAGGTTCATTAAACCCTTGCAAATAGGCACAGATCTTGCCCAGTCTGCTCTGGATAAGAATTCTTGGTCCTGGGCTCTGTGTGGCTGCTTGTCTGAGCATGACCTGAGGCAGAGCCCCAGGCTTCCAGCAGTGCTGAACCTTTGGCTTTCATTTACTCTGCAGTCACTGGGGGGTTTTCACTTGGTTGGGGTGTTCAGCATAGATGTGTTCTGGGTCTTCTCTAATTAGAGTCCTTTGTCTCTCCAGTTCCACATCGTGGTTCTAGCAAAGTTGCAAAAATGATATGCTGTGGCACTGAGGAAATTTCATTCTCTGTTGTATCTGTCACCACTGTTTGAAAACAGTGTGGCAGTAGGAGTTCTGTTACTTTTACTTTGTTACTGCTCGTGACTCTAGTAAGCAGAAGCTGTTACCAATCTTTTTTCTCTTGTGTCATTCTTTTTAACCAGAGGACCGCCTTTTTCTTAGCAAAATAACTTGGTTCTCAAACACGTGATGTGACAATTGTTTATTTCATTACTTAAGACGTCACTTTACTAGATTCTTCCTATGTTAAATTCTAGTACTTTGTTTTATACTCTGTCAGTTTGTCCCAGTTTCAAATATATGTTCAAACTTCATTAGTTTATGCTTATTTTTTGTGCTGTCATTAATGAAAATATTAAATAAGATGCTGTTCCAGAACATCATTAGTAATTACTTTTCAGCCTAATCTAGTTCCCTCTTCCGTTCAGTTGGTTCCTTACCCATCTTACTACACCTACAATAAATTATTGTCTTGGGTTAATACATTTTTATGGTGCTGCAGTAGCAGATGCTCTGCTGTGAAGCCTTACATTTTAAGCAGGTACATTTTAGCAGCTCTTGCTGGAGAGGTACCTGAATCCTGTGTGACCCCATGCTCACATCAAAGGACACAGAGGACAGAGCCAGCCCAGCCTCCTTCAGAGCTCTTTGCAATGTGCAGTGATGTGTGCTTCCTGCCTTTTGGGGTAATTATTAAACATTTAGGTAAACTGTTTGTGTTAGCTCAGCTTCCAGCTGAATAAAGAATATTGATTTGGCTTCTTTTTTTTTTTGTGTTGTTTCCTACCTTTTGACATCCTTACTTACCCACTGCCTAAAATGGTACCTGAGCACAAGTTTCTTAGCAAGAAGTTCAGGCTTTGTGCACAGACCTTTCTGAAATATTTGGTTATTAAAATAGATTATTAAATTAATAAATTATTAAATTATTATTAATAATTGTTATTAAAAATAGGTGTTTGCAATTTTATTTTCTCAGAACAGGCTAAAGGAAAAATACAGCATCCATAAGAGCCTACAAATTCAATTCGCCCAGTCTAGGACAGTACTTAGAAACAAAACAAACCAAAAAAACAAATAAAAACAACAACAAAAAACACAAATGGAAGTAACTCTACTTCCTTGTCTAGTTCTGGCTATTTAAGCACAGTGTGACTGTCCTACATTGAAGGAAAAGCTCCTTTGGAAAGGCTGATTTTACTGATCCCACTGCCAAAAACTGTGTCCTTTCTTACACCATCCTCTATGGTAGACACCACCAATACACAGGATGAAAGAAGGCTTTTACTCTCAGTATTTTCTCAGTTCTGCACAAAGAGAAATTCTAAGGCTTATTTTTAAAAGTGGTCTTTTATTAAAGAGGATCATCCTTCCTGACAAAAATCATTACCTTTCTCTTCTGTCCCCAGTTTCCCTCTCGTGGGCTGCTCTCTGGGTCTGCAGGACAGTGGTTTCCATGGGTCTGTCCCCAAACAATCTGTAAAACACTTGTTTGCCAGTGCCTGAGCTGGCCACTGGGCACAGCAGATGAGTTTGCCTTGTGTACAAGAGCTGCTGGGAAATGTGCAATGATCACAACAACCTATATTCAAACTCAAGGACAGTAGCAAAAATGTCTGAGATGGACACTGCATGGTGCTCTCTATGTCCCAAGAATCTGATTTTTAAATGAAAGTGGTGGGTTTACCATCTTCCAGATCAGATTTTTTTCTCCTTTTGTAGGTGTCTCCTACAAAAAATTGTCAGAATTTTAAAAGTTAATGTTATGCTAGGGCTCAAGAAGGATATAAAACCAGTCTACCTGCCATGAAATTGAGAACTGTTTGATGCAAGAGAGAGCTCAAGGGATCTGATTACAGCCTCCTGGTTCCATGATTTGATCTACACTGGAATTGACAGCAAACTTTGGTTCCTAAGCCATCCATCACAGGTCAGCCAGCCTCTGGGGGATTCTTATCTTCCCAGTTGAGATCACAGAGCCTTAAACTGCCTGAGTAGCAGCAGATAGAGATCAGGGAGTAGCCTGCAGTTTTTAATTTATCAGTGGATCATGATGCATTGATTGAATGCTTAAAAGCAGGCCTGTTTCAGTGTGATCTAATATTAGAAAGCACTCTGTCTGTGCTATCTGATGAGACTCTCCTGGGCAATTAGCACATCTGCACAGGTGTAATGCTTTTGACTCTAGAAATAAACTGTGGAAAAAAATACGTGGAAATTTTTTTTGGTGGTTGGGGTTTTTTGTTTGTTTGTTTATTTTAATTATAGTGACAGGGAAGCAAGGAATTTTTTTCATAAACCTATTTGTGAAGACCATCTTCGTCCTCTTGGCTCTCGCAGTTCCAGTTTAGTACTTTTATCTCTAATTTTATTCATCTACTAATGAAAGAAAATGCCAGTTTCAAGTTTATTTTTGTCTTGGTATTTTTTCTATTTGTGTTTACTGTAATTTTTGCCAGTAGAATTTTGTGCCTTTACTATTTCTTCACCATGATTTTCCTTTTTTCATTGGCAATCTAGGAGGTGAAATGATAGAATATTAAGTCTCCATCTCACACCTCAGAGCAAGAACCTTTCACCTGTTTGTGTGCCTCTTCATCATGCACAGCAGAAGCTCTGTTATACAGAGCAGAAAACTTCATGAGAAATGCCCAGCCTAGGAGGGACATTCCCTTGAGAAGCAAAGTAAGTATTTTTGTTTGGTTTTTGATGCTCCATTGGAACACTCTGAACTACAACAGGGAGCAACAGGAAGGCTTTTAAAGGGGTGATTCAGAACACAAAAAGAGCATTGTCTTTTCTATTATTAAACTTTTAATACTTTCTCCAAAACCCATGATTGTTGTCAACATAATCTTGTACTTGCAGAGACACATAATGTAATTTCAGTGTAGTCTAAACAATGTTCCTCTCCCCAGCTGTCATTACCATGAACTTTCCCTTTTTTTTTTTCTCCTGATCACAGCATACCCTCAAAAAGTGACCTTCCTTTAAAAGAAATACATCATAGCCCCAAGCAGTCTTGTACTCTGAGATATCAGAATGCTTTCAGCAAGACTTTCTAATATTTTAAACTGGAAATTATGTGCTTACTTTATTTTTTATTCCTTTTTAGCTATTCAGAATAACCATGTCAAGAAACGTTGTAAAACTGCAGTGAAAAGGATCTGAGCTCAGTTGCTCCTGCTCCATTCTGAGTTGCTATCAAACATACTGGTCAATTCTACATTTCCTTTACAGTGTACAAGGAAGAAAATATCCTCAAGGATACTCCAAGCTTATAGACACACAGCAGCTGTAGCAAATATTCTAACCTCTGGGCAACCACCAGGTTTGCTTCTGTGTTTTACAGTAAGCAAGACAATGTTTCCTGGATAGAACATCGAGGATGAGCTTACCCCCACGGCAGATTGTCTCCAGTAACAGGCAGCCAAAGTGAGACAGAAAATAACGGAGGGGAGCACAGGTGACTTTGTGACAGTTTGCTGTCCCACACTTCCTCTCACCAGCCCAGCAAGGGCCTGAAAAATGCAAGAATCTGCACTTTGTGCTTTGTCAAATCAGATCCTCCCTGGTAGGTTTTCAGGATGCGAGGAATGGCCTCAAGCTGTGCCAGGTGAAGTTTAGATTGGATATTAGCATCAATTTCTTCACTGAAAGGGTGGTTACACTTTAGCATAGGCTGCCCAGGGAAGGGATGAAATCACCATCCCTGAAAATGTTCAAAAGATGTGTGGATGTGTCACGTGGGGATATGGTTTTTTGGCAAACAGAGGGTTGCTGGGTTAACAGTTGGATTCAATGATCTTGGAGGTCTTTTCCAACCTTAAAGAGTCTATGATTCTTTGAAACACATAAAGATGTGGTTTAAGAGTGTTACTGGAGCTGAAAAGTCAGGCACTCAAAAGTGATATGAAAATGAAGATGTGCACAGCTTAAATTTCTCCTGTAATTATGTGTCAAGTGACATATCTTCAATCACATTAGAAGTTACTCATTCTACACAAACTGTCCCTGTACCTGCTCTGTGGATCATGCAAACCCCTTGCTGTTGATGACACAGCAAATGGTCAGTGCTTTTATCCCCTCGTGGCTCAGCACACAGCTCCACGCTGAGCCTGCTGCCTGCTGTGCACACCCAGCTCCTTCTGCAGTGACATTAC